AGACAAGCTTAGTTTTTAAAGTCATTATCGATACTTTTTGACAAACGGCAACTTATGTCTTTATATACCTGTAGCAACATCTTCGACCATCACAGGCTCCTACCTAGCACTAATAAGGTCCTGCAAATTGGTACATGAATATTGAAGATGTGTCCTCATCCTCGAGAACGCCAATAGTGAGCGTATAGGAAATCGGCTCACTAGATGTCAACTTCCCGGAGATCTGGAAAAAAACCACCTGTTTCCCATGTTTTAACATTAGGTATATGGCTTTAGTAAGAAACACAGGCAACCTTAGAAAACCTGAAGATGAGAACTTCCAGATATACAGCGCTGACAAATGCTTCAAGTGGATAGTCCCCCATCCCGGACTTCCGTAAGTCGAATCTCAGCCCCACCAATTAACGCAGGGAGCTAAAACTTTGGCATATGGTAGGTCATGACAAGGTAGATCATGTATCATAATTTGAGCCAAATCTGACGTTTGGACTGGAAGTTATTAGCACTTGAGAAAACACCCCTAAAAGGGACTGCTAGTGAGTAAAACTGCTCCGGCGACTTCTTCCGATGTTAATAGCCTTTTCCAGTGAAAGGTGATTATGGACATTAGAAATGTAATAACTTAGAAAGAATTAACGGGATATGGATAAAATTGGGTAGGATAGGTAGGACCACTATAGGATTTTGAACCCGATTATGGAAAATTGACCACGTGTGACCCCAGGGTGATCTTAAAGTGATTTTAAAGCGTTTATGGCCAAAATCGTATATAAAACCCAAACATCAACAAAGGAAAGTAGCACCCTCCCCAGCCCCAACCATTGGGGAATAAACATCGGTCACTTTATTATAAAATGGATGTAATTTATCCATTGGCGACTGAAGCAGAAGCTGAAGGGGATATAGGTTTTACATTGTAACATTGAAGTAGTGAATTAATAAGAGTGGACCTGGCGAACATTGAGTTAAACTAAGCTTGGCGAATGCGCTATTTATAGAATATCAATCAGACTATAGAAAAGTAGTCCCAGAAATTGGCAGTAATAGAAGCATGGCATGGGAAGTAGATCTCCTAAAAAAGCTTGAACGCGCGGGATATTTACTTAGCTCCCCGTAAATGGCTTTTTGGTTCAATTTGACTCCTGAAAAGCGAATTGCATAGGAATTTTGATGCTTGGAATGAATTATCTACCCACCGAAAGGGTCTCTTTTTACCATCGAGAGGACGGAACGTTAATGGGATCATTTAAAAAACCTTGGTAGATTGGTTAATTAAACATAGCTTGTTTTAGAGGTGAAATTGGACTTGATATTTTGATATTTGCATAATTTAATTAGAGATACCTATTATGAACTTGGAAATTGGGACTAGTGTTGTCAGAGGAAGTATTCAGTTAAAACCTTGCGAAAAAAGTACCAAAGTAAATGTTGAGATTTGAAAGAACAATCATAACTCTAACTAAAAATAAAACTCAACAACGAGAGACTGATAAACAGCCTACCCTTAGACAGAAAAAAATTAGCTGCTAGTGAAAACAAATGGGTTCGCGCTGTTATTTAGAGAACGATAATCGCTATTGTGTAGAGAAAGAAAAATTGTGATGTTTGAGATATCAGTAAAAGTACCTCAAAGGCACAGTGATCCATAGTAACAATATTAATTTTAGCAGGTAGACCTAAACAGTTGCTTGGAATTACTTTTTTAGGTAGTTTCTATTGAAATCTCTAGAGAAAGAAAATCAAATAATTAAATTACTTGGGAGTTGAAAGCAATTAAGCATTTATGCTGATGGATCGCGGAATCTTTTTTTATTAGATTAACAGATTATGTTAGGGACAATTAAAGCCTTCAGTATTTGGACTTAAATTATCTGAATTCAATTATCATTGGGAACTCTCGTGATCGTTTCGAGCGGTCCAAACAGCCCTGAAAGCAGTAGAAAAAAGGGACAAGAAACGGAAAACAGTACAGAATAGTTGCCATCAACTTGAACCTTTCGCGACCGAATGAATGAAAATTAACCGCTACCGGCGCGACCAAACGAAAGTTAACCACGACCGGAGAAAAGTTATCAGCGACCGGTGCGACCGATGAAAAGTTAACAGCGACAGGCGCGACCATATAGAAATTAACCGCGTCCGGTGCGACCGAATGAAAGTTAACTGCGGCCGAATGAAAGTTAACAGCGACAGGCGCGACCGAATGGAAGTTAACCGCGACCGGCGCGACCGAAGAAAAATTAAAAACGACTGGCGCGACCAAATGAAAGTTAACCACGGCCGGCGTGACCGAAGAAAGGTTAACAGTGACAGGCGCGATCGAAGAAACATTAACAGCGACAGGCGCGACCGAATGAAAGCTGACCGTGTCTGACGCGACCGAATGAAAATTAATCGCGACCGGCGCGACCGAAAGTAAGTTAACCGCGACCGGCGCGACCGAAGTAAAGTTTAAAGCGACCAGCGCCACGGAATGAGAGTTAACAACGACCGGCACGACCGAAGAAAAGTTAATGAATATTAACCGCGACCGAATGAAAGTTGACCGCTACCGGCGCGACCGAATGAAAAATAACCGCGTCCGGGCAACCGAATGAAAGTTAATAGCGAGCGGTGCGACCGAATGGAAGTTAACCGCGACCGAAGAAAAGTTAAAAGTGACTGGCGCGACCGAATGAAAGTTAACCGCGGCCGGCGCGACCGAAGAAAGGTTAACAGTGACAGGCGCGATCGAAGAAACATTAACAGCGACAGGCGCGACCGAATGAAAGCTGACCGTGTCTGGCGCGACCGAATGAAAGTTAACCGTGACCGGTGCGACCGAAGGAAAGTTAACCGCGACCGGCGCGACCGAAGGAAAGTTAACCGCGACCGAAGAAAAGTTAAAAGCGACCGGCGCCACGGAATGAGAGTTAACAATGACCGGCGCGACCGAAGAAAAGTTAAAAGCGACTGACGCGACCGAATGAATAATAACCGCGACCGAATGAAAGTTGACCGCTACCGGTTCGAACGAACGAAAGTTATCCTCGTCCGGCGTGACCGAAGAAAGGTTAACAGTGACAGGCGCGATCGAAGAAACATTAACAGCGAAAGGCGCGACCGAATGAAAGCTGACCGTGTCTGACGCGACCGAATGAAAATTAATCGCGACCGGCGCGACCGAAAGAAAGTTAACCGCGACCGAAGAAAAGTTAAAAGCGACCAGCGCCACGGAATGAGAGTTAACAACGACCGGCACGACCGAAGAAAAGTTAAAAGTGACTGGCGCGACCGAATGAATAATAACCGCGACCGAATGAAAGTTGACCGCTACCGGCGCGACCGAATGAAAAATAACCGCGTCCGGGCAACCGAATGAAAGTTAATAGCGACCGGCGCGACCGAATGGAAGTTAACCGCGACCGAAGAAAAGTTAAAAGTGACTGGCGCGACCGAATGAAAGTTAACCGCGGCCGGCGCGACCGAAGAAAGGTTAACAGTGACAGGCGCGATCGAAGAAACATTAACAGCGACAGGCGCGACCGATTGAAAGCTGACCGTGTCTGGCGCGACCGAATGAAAGTTAACCGTGACCGGTGCGACCGAAGGAAAGTTAACCGCGACCGGCGCGACCGAAGGAAAGTTAACCGCGACCGAAGAAAAGTTAAAAGCGACCGGCTCCACGGAATGAGAGTTAACAATGACCGGCGCGACCGAAGAAAAGTTAAAAGCGACTGACGCGACCGAATGAATAATAACCGCGACCGAATGAAAGTTGACCGCTACCGGTTCGACCGAACGAAAGTTAACCTCGTCCGGCGCGACCGAATGAAAGTTAACAGCGACCGGCGCGACCGAAGAAAAGCTAACAGCGACAGGCGCGACCGAATGAAAGTTAACCGCGGCCGTCGCGACCGAAGAAAGGTTAACAGTGACAGGCGCGACCGAAGAATTGTTAACAGCGACAGGCGCGAACGAATGAATAATAACCGCGACCGAATGAAAGTTGACCGCTTCCGGTGCGACAGAATGAAAGTTAACCGCGTCCGGCGCGACCGAATGAAAGTTAACAGCGACCGGCGCGACCGAAGAAAAGCTAACAGCGACAGGCGCGACCGAATGAAAGTTAACCGCGGCCGTCGCGACCGAAGAAAGTCCTATCATTCTTCTTTCCCCTCCGCCTAATTACCCCTCCCCCTGCCCACATTCACCCCACCATGCCCCTCCGGCAAAAAAAAAACTATTACGGGCCCCCAACCTAAATTATAATGACAATGCTCGGGCGGATCTAGGGTTTTCTCGGGGGGGGGGGGGGGGGGGGGGTTAGGGGGGTTGGTGACAAATAATTAAAAACAAGCCAAAAATGCCGTTTTCTGATTTTTTTGAAAAATTTTGATTAAAAAATTGCGTTTTTCAGCGAGTGCTGGTGCTGCCTTTTAAAATTAGTATATATTGAAAAGTTTTAGGTCTGTGGCCCAAAATGGATATCATAAAAAATTCCAAAGAGAGACTTGGTGAGGGGGTCCAAAGAGATGGTTGGTGAGTTTGTCGAATCCCTGTAGCAGTCGGGCTTTTTTTGTTAATTAATTCAAAGAAAAGTATTAGCCAATCAAATCTCTTGAAAATGTTCGGAATTTGGTTAGCTAACAGGCAAATTTTGAGGCACATTTTTATCCAATCAAAATGCGTCTCAATTTAGTGACAAGTTTTCCGATTTAATTTAATTAAAACCGGAGGTATTTAGTTTTTTCGGCTATCCGGTAATGCGGCTCCGTGGGTACGCACCATAATGTTGAGGGGGAAGGTTTTACGAAACAAAGAAACTTAAAATTTGTTTGAAAATATACAGCGTAGTCTTTCTGAATGGCGAGATCGTAATTGTTAAACATTTCAGAGCCCTGTGTCTTTTTCGCAAGGGACTTGGTTATTTTCAAGGAGCCACTCTATCATAGTAGTACCCAACTTGGATAGCATCTAACAAAAAAAAACACGAAAACACCCAGGTAGGTACTACTCACATTTGTGTAGTGATATAATTGCTGCTCGTCGGTGGCTCAATCAATAGTCGAAACTTTCCAACAATTTAATTTCAAATGAAGTAATCAGTTCAAGCTTCAAAAGGCCAACAGAAACGAAAGTAGCCGCATATGTGATGAGACGATGGTATTCTGCCACTGTGCTTTTTTCAGCTTGCCTTGAACAATGAATACGTAATAATATGTTGGTGGCTGAAAATGCAGGGAAATACGAACGTTAGCATATAGGGATGCTAACTTGGAGTATCATTTAGCAGAAGGAATAATAATAATACCAAAAGTATATCCATGCAAACAATACAGGTGTTTTGAGAGGGTACTGACCTTTTACCAGAAAAGTAATAACATGGAACTTTTACCAGACTCGATAAACAAATTTGATTGACAAATTTGTAATGACGCCATTTAGTTTGATTTGTACTAACCGCTTCCTTTTCGAATCTTGCACTAATTTAAACTTACCCTAATTGAATTATTGCATTGTGGTTTGGTAAAAGGTCGGGGTCGGTCTTGGTAAAAAGACCTAGCCCCCCATTCAAGCTTCAAAAGGCCAACAAAAACCAAGTCGCCAATATGTGATGAGACAGACGATGATCTTCGTCTGCAACTAATTTTTTCAGCTCGAATTGAAAAATATATTGGTTTGATGAAAATGCATGGAAATACAAAAGTTAGCATATAGGAATGCTAACTTGGAGTATCATTTAGCAGAAGGAATGATGATAATAACGAAAGTATATCCATGCAAACAATACAGGTGTTCTGAAAGCATTTAATGAGGTGTGCCATCACAAATAACTAAATGAATCAGTTTGCCATTTTTAGTCTCAGAATTGAACTAAGTTTTCGGCTTTCCGGGAATAAAACACATTTCGGTTATTCGGGCATTCAGGGTATAGTTAGACACCATTGAAGGGGATCTAGGACAACACGCAGACTTCAAGCCGAAGGGACTTCAGGCCGAAAAATGCACTTTACAAGCACCTCAAAACACTATTTTTTCATCTGTAAAATGTTACTTTTCAAAAATTTAGGAGAGTTTAGTCCATTAAATGCGTTATTCATGACAATGCACTACTTTGGATTGGCATCCGTTAATAAGATCAGCCGGTTTTTGCAATGCATAAGTTATAAACATGAAAAACGCCTTCAACCATGTTTTATTTTTCAACTTTCCTAAACATCATTTGGAGGATTGAATTTTATGAAAACGCCAATAACTAGAGAAGAAAGTCCTGAAATTCCAAAATTCATCAAAAAATTTTTTCAAATTAATCATATTTCACAAGTTTATAAGAAAATATTCGGCTTGAAGTCCCTAATTTTACGATTCGGCTTGAAGTCCCGTCGGCTTGATGTCCGGCACCCGGAAAAGTCATCACTTATCCATGAGTTAAGGAAAAATTACCAAGCAGTAGCGGATTTAGGGGGGATTGACGACTTAACTATAACTAAAGAGTCCCCAAAAAGATACCCCCAAAAATTTTTAAAAAGCACCTTCGGAAAAGCTCGGATCTTGAGTGATACGCGAGAACTCGGAAAATCATATTTGACTTAACAAAAATATAATTAACAAAAAGATAATTGAAGATAAAATTTAAAATATTGACTCTACAATTTTTATCGGTTGGCCGGCCCGGAGTGCGGTCTGTATTTAGACAATCACGTATTCCTACTCGTCAGTAAGCAGACAAATACCATATTAACCAATCAGAATCGAGATGAGAAAGCAAACTTACGAAATAACTCATTATTAATTATTCATTTCTTCCTTGTCTCGATTCTGATTGGTTAATATAGTATGTTTCTGCTTACTGACGAGTCTGAAAACGAGTCTGAAACCGTATAATTCTATACTTTTCTGTCTTTCTTTTCTTAGACCATTCTGGTCGGTGCAACCCCTCGCCAATAGTAACTGAGCACGACGGTGATATTTCTATTTCTCAGAAATATGGAATTGAATTTAGCGTTTTCTAATTCCCAGAACTGTGTAAAATATTCTATTTCTGAGAAATAATAACAAAAAAAAGCACTGACACGTGCCCTGGCTTTCAAGTTAATGTTCACTAAATTAATGCAGGGGCTATTCTCATGCGCTAAGGACAGAATGGACGAAAAACTTGTGGGCGATAAACCGAAAATTAAATTAGCCGAAAGTCAATTTTTAAAAAGAATCAATTGTCATTCAGGATCAAGTTAACATCCTCCCCCACCACCCCCCCCCCCGCCAAATAGACCAAGTTAAGATTCTCCAACCGAGCTTTCAATATAAATTAAAATTGCTAAACGTGTGAAGAGCTCAATTCTGATTGGCTGAAAATTCCCCTTCTTTTGAACCAAGTTAACATCCTCCCCCCTAAATGTGTTTGGGTTTGGGGGGGGGGGATGATGTTAATTTGGTCCGCCATTCAATTAAACTGAATTAAATGAAGCAATATTTTGCATCTTCGTAACGAAAATCTTGAAATATAAAATTTGTTCTAATTCGGCGGCGGTCAGAGACAATTTGAAAATTTTGCACATTTCTGCCGTTTTTATTTTCGGTCCATGTCAATATTATAGATTACTGAAATCTGATTGGCTGGATTTTTATTTTCGCGCATTCGATCCTTCGCATATGAGGGATTCCACCTTAATTAATCGAAAATTGTCGACGGGAATGTAAGGCTTGGAGCGTACGATTCGTCATCTTTATGTCCTGATGTCGTCTCATATGGATAACTTTTAAAAAGGAGAGAATACTTTTTAATGCATATTCAACCTTATTAATTTGAGTTCAAGAAAGGACAACGATAAGTTAAATATTTCTGAGAAATACCAGATATAAGTCGCGATTGTTCAATGTTGTACATTAACTGAACTGAACAAATAAAATAAAACGAACCAACTCTGCTCAACAAACCAAACGCAGACATATAAAGCATATTTGCAGTTTGTGACAAATGCTTCTTTTATTGTAGTCAGATTTAACTTGATTTGAAAACATACTACATATTCAGGAAACATTCGCACAGGCGGTATAAAAAATGAAAAGGCATTTGATCAATTGCGGGATTTTTTGTATGCAAAAGAAATATTTTCAACAGCGCGAACTATGGGACATTCGGACCACGGGACTTCAAGCCCAATCGTGAAATTATGGACTTCAAGCCGAACAAAAAGTCATGAAATAAGATTAATTTGAAAACCATCAAAAAAGCCAAACTGTGGATGTTGTGAATTTTAAGCGGATTCCGTGGTCTTTCTTATGCACAAAACGGCCCAAAACCAGTATTTCTTCATCTTTCTTGAACTCAAATTAATAAGGTTGAATCTGATTCGCAATTTATACACTCAAATTCAAATCACATGGTCCTGCAACTTAATTGAGATTTCAAGCAGATAAATTTGTTGACCGACATGATCAAAACTATAAAATTTTGGATCTACTTAATCCCCCCTCCTATTGTATCTACTAACGATGTATCCGCCCCTGTAAATAAAAACAGTAAATTCGCATAAGTGCGTTGTATTAAAATTGAATTTTTCTGCATTCTGATTGGTCAAAAATTCGCTGCAAGTAATTTACTTAACAATCTCCCCCACCCTTTCTTGAAAGGGAGGATTGTTGAATAAATCCAAGATTCATAATCTGCTGAAGCATTTTTTTGAATTTCTCTCGTTCTGAATTTTTCTCTTTTGAAAAATTTACCATGTGATTTGAAAATAATTTTATTAAAAGACAAAGTTAAGATAACTGATGGGATTTTTAGTAACTCAGTTAAAAGAAATTAGTGTTTCTTAAGAAATGAATTCAGACTGTTCTTAAAAGTGTTTTTTGGTAGCTCAGTTCTACTGGCCTGAGTTGCATACGATGTATGGTAGAACTGAACTTGCAGTTCTTCTCTTTTAGATCGGCGCAAATGGCCTTAAAAATAATAGTTAACTTTTTATATATCTAGATAACAGCAAAGTTTTTGCAACCGCAGTACCACATTCCACTGCGGGTAGAAAATATTATCGAACAAAATAAAAAGTTTTTATAAACAAGAGTTTTGGTACTTAATAAGTTTCATAGCAACCTTGGTTTTTATCTTGGTTTTCCTTGGGCTCTTCCAATTCCAGGGGTACTCGCCCCGCCGCGTTCCAGGTTCTCGAAATGTCCAGTGATGCATAACCGATTTTTCTTCTGAAAAGGTGTCTTTCCAGCAAGACGGAACGTGTCTCCATTGGTTTATCCCTTCTCGTCTTGAGTGAGGCTAGCTTCATTCGGTACACTTCTAGAGCATTTTTAGTGAGATCCGTTATGTCTTCTACTGTCTTGATCATTCTCACGGATTGTTTGATTGGGTCACTCTCTTCACTATCTTGACATTCTCACGAAATTGGTCGATTCTAATTTTCAACTTGTGACGCCGTGAGGGCAGATCTCTCCAGCTGCTGCCTATCTAAATTTCCAGATTGAGTTAAAAATTTACCGCTGAAAAATTTAAACTCAATTTTTAATAGGCGTCAGAAATGTGCTTCAAATGGTGAAAGTTGGATTGTTTTTTGCTTTATCCACCTTTGATCTCGTGTTGTTGTGCTGATGTAAAGTTTTCGTCTAGTAGCATGACATCCAGTATTCTTTATGTTGTTTGCATTGTTCTCTCGACCAAGCCACACCCTCGGTGATTTCCCACCGGACAGATTTCATGTTATTATTCTCCGTGCAAAATTTATTTATTGCTTTTCCTTTAAACCAGGAGAATTGATCAATTTTGGTTAATTCAGGAATGCCATGGGTGTCAATACAGGTGCGTACGAAATTAATTGACGATTTCCCTCCGTAGTTTTTCTAACATACACCGACGAGAGTTTCCAGTTTTTATCTTTTGCCACTAATGATATATATAATTTTTACTAATGATCGTCTAATGGCCCTGCGTAGTCAAGTTGAATTTCCTGACCCGGCTGCATTAGCCGTGGTAGACGTTTAGTGGAGCTTTTCGGAATAACTTACTAAGTTTCTTACCGTATCTAGTGCAATCTATACACTCCTCCGCTATGTTTACAATGTCATCAAGTATTTGGGGCCACCACAAGTAGTTAGAGACGTTGAGCATCGCCTTCTGGCCCAAGGTGCATTCAAGGGTGTCCAAGGTGTATTTGTTTCATCACCGTTGATCTCAGCTGGTCTAGAACTGCTAGTCGATTGCCCTCTAGTATGCAGTGATTTAGAACTGCCATTTGGCGATACAGCTTGTTAGTGTAGGGTCCCATTAGTTCGAACCCGTGCCGATCGTTCCTTTTCATTTCTGTTCTTAGACGATCCATCCACAAGTCTTCTGTGATTAGTTCTACCTGAAGACTTCTGTCAAAAAGTCTTGACAGATTGAATAATCTCTCTTCTTCAGGATGCGCGGGCAGTTGCAATTCCTTTGTTCTGGAGAGATGACTGAATATTTTTCCTGGCGTCACTACACTCACCTCTGGACTATTTTCTGTGTCTCCTACTGTAAGGTCCACCTTTAAACTTCAGATTTCGTCTCGATCGGTAATCGTTTCACTCCGGTTTTGAGTAGGGTCCGTAGGGTCTGTTCTGATCAATTTCGAGTTGGTTTCTAACTGTATCATGTTTCCTGATCTTGTAGGACTGTCTCCGCCCACTAAATCCCAAAAGGATTTTAACCTTGTCGATTGGTTAGTGTCCGGTCTGTCTTCCCTAGCTCTCCAGGCTGTCTTCGGTATGTCCGATCCTGAACTCTCCGAGTCTGATTTGTTCCTAGTTCCCCTTTATGCTTCCCAGGAACGACCTTAGTTGTTTAAGAGACCTGGAGGGGTTTAATTGTATTATTGCCTCTGTTTTTGTAACCTTCGATATGACCCCAATTTCCCATAGATGGTGTCCGAGCCAGTCTAATTAGTTTTTTGAAAATTCGCAATTAGAAAATTTTAACGGCCAGATTTTCTTTGCCCAATTTCTTAGTACATTCGAAATTAGTGTTTGATGTTCAATCTCTTTTCCTTTCGAGAGGATTAATATGTCGTCTAGAAAACAGAAGGTGGTTTTAGCGTGGCTTAGAGTTCGATGCATTGCTTTTTTTGAAACTCTGCAGGCATGTCGGCTAGCCCATTAAAGTCTTTGAAGAACCTGTAAGTTCCTGTTGCACCCCCCCCCCCCCCCCCCCCGACAGTTACACCGTTTCGCTGTTTCCGCAGTCAATCTCAATTGGATATAAGCGTATTTTAGGTTTAGTACTGTGAAGAAGTTACAATTTGACTCACCCCATCTAATAGTTCATCTACGTTGAGCATCTGATGCTTGTTTTTAAATAATTGTCTATTGATTGGTTTCGCGTTTAAGGCAAGCTTTAATGAGTTTTCTCGTTTTACCGTACTAGTATTTCTTGGAGCGATAAAGCAATCGCTCGTGCACTTGTGAATTTGTTTTATATGAACTTCCCCAGTAATTTCTTCAAGTTGTATTATATCTTGAACGTGAATTGGTATCGGTCTACCCATTTCTTGAATTTGGCATAACTGGTCTTTTAACTTTTTGTTTACTACATGGTTTTTGATTGTTCCTGCCGCTCAAATCGGTTTTTAATTTTTTTTATAAACTTGTACCTTCCAACTTTCTGACTGCTCGCACAGTAGCACTTCAATCCTCGACTTTTCTTTAGGGGCTGGCTTCTGGATAGTGGTGATCCTCACTTTGTTTTGTAAGTCCAATCCTAGGATACATCTAGTACCCTTTTCTGAAATCAGGATTGAAGCATCTGGTACTTCCCAACCCGCCGAACGAAAATTTACTTTGAATGCCCCAAGAATCATAAGAGGCTCTTTATTATAATGAACATACCGTGCAGACAGGCCTGGCTGCCCGTTGATACAAAACTTGCTTTCTTTGAAAGTTCCATGATTTGTTTGGCTGTTGCCCAATTTAAAAAGGATACTTGACTGCATGCGTTGACTGTCAGATTGATAACTTGGTTATCGATTCTGAAGAGCGCTTTACGGGATTTGATTGTTTCTGACTGAGGACTTCTTCGTATGTAAACATTTTTGATACTTAAGTCGCCCATTTTTTCCTTTTGTATCGCCTTTTTGTTTGCCAATCTGTTTTGGACGTATTTTTCAATCTGGCTCAGTGTTTGGCTGTTTGTTTCTATCGGCATGATTTCGAATTCATCACTTGAGTCAAAATTTTGTATGAAGTTGCACTCGTCGTTGGAACTATTGCCGTCCTCAATTACTTCGCTTATTTGTTGTGAACGACGCGTTTTCGTGAGATAATTTGGCTTTCTGCAGTTCTTACATGTTTTACCCATCAACGGGCAGTTTTTTGAAGGATCCTCAGTCAATAATCGCCGCATCGTTTGCAGGGTTGTTTTTCGCTAGCAGATCGTTTTTAGTTTCTACCTTTCGGTTGTTTTCGCTTGTGCTGCTCTTTGCATTATCGTCTATTAATCTGATTTCTGTTACCCACTTTCACTATAAGTTCTTGTTTTATTCTAATTTTTGATATAGAGAACTGACTTGGGCCTGCAGTACTGATATTTGTCCTCTGAATTGCCTGAGTTGTCTATTTGCTCTGTTCAAATTTGAGCGCTCTTTTTGCCTCATCAGCAGATAATTTTTCAGATGCCAGCTGGTCTTGGATGGCTACGTTCTTTATCCTCGAAATGAATGAATCTCGTACTAAATCGTCCTCGAGTGCGCCGAGTTCGGAGCTAGCTGCTGGTGCAGTTAGTGCTGCGTGGACCGATTGCAGTGACTCTCCTCTTTCCTGATGTCAATTGAAAAGCTTGTACCGTTCATACGTTAAATTTTGCGTTTTCAAACAAAGCTTTTGCGAACGTTCCTATTTCCTTGAAGTCAAACTTCGAAATCTCCTTGTGTGGATTTTCTCAACGAATATTTTCTTCCCCTCTGTTCCCAGCGCTAGGAATAGCCTGGATACTAGTCTTTTCTGTAGTTCGTTATAATACACATTATAACCAACTTTGGGAACCCTTTCTATTCGGTGTTCGTTCTCAAGTTGGATCTTGTCTTTAACCATTCTGTTTCGTTTCTTTTTCTGCCACGGCCATTGCACTTTCTGTCATTCGGGTTGTTTCTGGTTTTCTAGTCGGCTCTTCTATGACCGGTTTTGGTTCTTTAGTAAAATCTCAGTATCCAAGTTCTCTTTCACCATCACTGCCATGACAAATTGGTCGAACCAAATTTCAAAGTTCCATGGGGGATACGAGCTTGATGTAGCGCAGAGTACAGGAATTACCGTATCGGTTCAGTTATTTTGACCATGTAGTTACTGATGTAAAAAAAACAATAACTGATGGGAGTTTTAGCAATATGAAACTAGTGTTTCCTAATAAGTGAATTCAGACGGTTCATAATAACGTCTTTTTGTAAGTTTTTAGCCTCTATTTGATTATTGGGAACACTAAAAGCTGTCAAATGCGTAACATCAATACTCAAATTAATTACTCTGGAGTGCAGTCAAAATGTGGACAACCTCTTTTTCATGCCGGTCAAAAAGTAGACAAATACTATAATAACTAATCAAAAACGAGAACTGGGAAGAAACTTTGGAAATCAGTGATAAATAGTTGTTTACTTCTTAAGCTTGCTTACTGTTCTCGACTCTGATTGGTTAATGTAGTAGTTGTCTACTTCATGATGTGCTTACTATATGACTTGTTTAATTTTGCTACGTAATCGTGGGATCTACAAGATCCCAATGAAAGTAAGTTTTATTAGTTTTTTTTGAGGCTGAGCAGGTGCTTTGATTATGCTTAATGTTTTCTGAAGGTTTGATCTGGTTTGATACTGAGCGGTTGCTAAAGGGTTACTAGTTACGTAGCAAAAGTAGACAAGTCAGAAAGTTGCAACAACTATACTAATCAACCTGATTCGAAAAAAAAACTAAATTAAGGGAATTAAATAAATATTTATTATTTATTTGGTAAGTTTTTTTATCCTAAAGTAGCCAAATTAACATATTGCAATTCCCATAACCCTACAAAAATTAATCACAGGCAAAAATGTATTCGAGCGTCTGGCAGCAAAATCTTTCAGATGGTATGAAAAAAAAACTTCTTTCAAAACCATTCAGTTGAAAACTCAAAAATTGACTGAAAAAACCACCCAGGCGTGAACTTTCCACTTTTTTTTTCAAAAATCGGAAAATTCATCTTAAACCAGATTGCTCGTAATGACGCGACGCCCTAAAAGTTCCGACGTTCAATTAAAATCTATAGTGTTTTGTTCCACTTTTAGAAACGACTTTTGAATGACAGAGAAGCGGAGCTTCGCACCTCTTGCGATACAACAGAAACAAAAAAAACAGCAGATGTCGACAAATGAAGCAATGTCAAATACAAGTCCCTGCTCGACAAACTTTTACAATCAACTCAAAAAGAAATAAAAAGTGTGTCCAGTGCTTCAGATTGTTTCAAGGTCAATTTTTTTCAGCACTCCAATCAAAATACAAAAACATGATAAACAGTCAGCTAGAAAAATGTAAAAGAACAGAAAATTTATTAAAAATGATCGAAAACTTTTCAACCCTTTCTATTTTCGATGTTCTACGGGAAAAAACAGAACTCTGAAGTTTTTGAATTCAGACACAGTTTACAGTCGGTGTTTTTTGCGTTATATTATCGCCTTGAAAAAAATTAATAACTTTTCTGTTCATCTGGAAAATCTAAAAACTAAAAAACTCTTGAATTTAGAAATCAGTCACTTTTTTGTGACTTATACAATTTTAGTGTTCGATAGTAGAGTTAGCCTTTTTTCAACGAAAAAATTTGAACTGAATTTCTGAAAGAAAATTTCGGAAAAACAAAAGTTCAAATAAGGACAAATCAAATGTGAAGGTGAAAAAATTATTTTATGAATAAAATACTGATCAAGAATTAAATAAGTAAATCTCTTTTCGCTCTTTGTAGAATATTTTAAATTTTTTCAATTATCATTTTACATTCAACTTTTGAAAACAAATAGTGTCCAATATCTCCAAATTCCATACTTTCAACGCAAATTTTAAGTTCTCTCGTGATAGCACGCACTTAAAATTGACACTAGTTTTAAGAAACTTATTTTAAAATTTTTTTTACGAATGTGATCGGAACATTCTGTGCTAGTTGCAAAGCAGCCAGCTATTTTTGTTTCCCGTTTAGCTAAGCAGCGTAAAATTGCTTACTTTTTTGCAAATTAAACTCAAGAGAGCTATTTCAACGGTTTATTTATTTATACGGACAAGTGTAGTTACAACCAAATCCAATTATCAAGTGAATTCACGACGAGCGTTATTTTTCTAGACTAACCAAGATTTAATAATCGGTTCGTTTAAACCCCAGAAAAAAATCGTCCCTAATTCCAGCGCAGCAGTTAATTTCGTTTCAAAAAACTTGCCGTTTTGAAACTTTTTATTGAAGATTTTGATTTAAAATGTTTTTCTAGCTCTTGACCCCAATTATTCGAAACATTGCCAATAGTTGATTGAACAAATAAAAAAAGTACTTAAATTAAAAATTTTAGATTATTTTTTAGTACATGAATTTCAAATTTGTCCCCTTTAGAGAAAACTGAATCAATAGTTAATTTTTTCAAATGGGACTTCCGCAAATTAAAGGTCATTTTTAAAGCTAGGCGATGGTGGAGTTTATCTACCTTTTAACAAAAAAAAGCATTGAAATCACAAATTAATCTGCGAAAAATATTTGAGCTTTAAATTTTTTACTGAAAAACCAAAAAAAAAAACATGATGACCAATATTGCTGAAAACAGCTAGCAGACAGTTGCAAAAGAGTCAACGAACGCAAGAAAACAGGAAAAGAAACTATTTAGTTTTAAGACTCTTTGAACTTCAAAAGCAATTTATGATACACTTCTTTGATAAAATTAGACATTGAAAAAACTGGATTTTTCGGTAACTTTTTTATTCCGCTAAGAAAACTGCAAATCAAACAAAGAGGCTAAGCTTCGTTTCGCACACACTAGCGTAAAAAAACAAAAAGCAGCTCTATTAAGCGCAATAAAAAAGAGTAAAAATAAGCCTCAGACTTGTAAAAGTTCGGCTACGACTCGGATTCGATAACTGACCTAGTGATTCTGAGTTCACAAAATAAGTGAAGATTTTAATTTCCGACTAAGCTTAAGAAAAAATAAGGTTTGTACTACTACACTACGCTGCTCGCGAGTGCAAACATACTTTCGAAACTAAAAATCCCTTACGTTTTTCGTGGCCTTAAAACTTTTGCTGTTTGATAGAATTGCCTTCCTCTTAGCAACGGAAGGGAGCTGCAATTAAAAAAACCAGCCAAACCAAAAAAAGAGTAAATTTGAGCCTGAACAAATTTTAAACAGGCGAAGTTACACTTCGCATACACAAGCAAAAATATGACCGATAACGCTACAAGGAAAAAACTGAATGAGTAAAACTTTGGGTCTACAAAATTTCTCGAATGACGCACGCCAATTATGAGTCTACATAATTGCTAAGTGTGACGCAAGCCAATTATGACGCATTAGCAGTCAATTTAAAAAAAAATTTCCAACTAACATTTATTAATTTACAAAGCGGACGCATTTTAACTAGTTTACGAAAAAGTTCATTAAAAACATCCGACCCTGCCCAGGTTCGACCTCTCTTATTTTGCTGCGAGTCTCCTTCCCTACCTCTACGCTACAAATCCATGATACCTTGAAGTTAAAGTGCTATTTGTAATATAATAGTCTGTGTTAATATCCTTAGCATTGGGTGTACTTAATAACTGGTTATTGTTCAAAATGAACACTAATATTTGCGACTTAGGTTGAAAAAAAGAGAGTTCATACTATCACACAAGCCTTGCTAGTGTAAATACACTGGTGGTGAAGTAGTTCACGACTCTCAATTGGAAGGTCGGATGTGCGAGGCACACCGTGATCCTTGCTTGAGGGTGTGGCAACATTGCCCAGCCCAGATTGCACGCAGTTCTTAAGCAGTGCCGCAACAACGGTTCTCCGTGAAGAGCTGAACAGATCATATATAGGTCCTTTCACTTGTGGATCAATCGCCTTGATTTAAAACTGGTCTGCAAATTTTGAAACTATAATTATATATCAGAATTTTTACACATTTTACACAAAATTTAAGCCATAATAAGTCGATTCAAATATGATGTTACAGAAATATCTCTTGCACCATTGATCAAAAAAGTCAAATTGTACATCCACCGAACTCGTGAACAACTACTGCATATCGCTAGCACCCACAGCCCAAATTTATGCTCCACAATAATTTCATTTATCTTATTGATCAAATCCAGTATGATATCAAAAACACCTTTTGCTCATATGAACTACCTTTTTCACATTCAAAAAGTGAATATCCTTGCATCACCTCGTCTGATAAAATGAACATGGACCAAAACTATGAATTTATTAGAGGAAACAACTAATTCAGTCTTGTCTGGAATTTGATTGGCGGGATCACTCAGTCGTCTTTCAGGAGTTCATCTTCGTCTATATCATCCTCGTCGTCATCCATGACTACTGCGTCGTGGGCGTCTGTGCCCTCCACTGCCTCGTCCAAATTCAGTTTCTCAAGGTCATCGTCCAAAGACAGTTCCTCTTCGCTTTTCTTTTTCACATCTTCTTCAGTCCCACTGGGCTCGGGCTCTGCTTGATTGTTATCTAAATTGCACATTGAATCCAAAAAATCTAAGAGGTCAGAGTTCAAGTTCCCGACAGATAGACTAAGTAAAAATCCTCAACCCCGCTACTTTATTAGCATAGAAACTCCTTAGCTCAGCAAGTTAAATACTCGAGTCTGATAGCCAAATACTCCAACTCAGAACGAAGCTAAGATCCTCCCCTAACACCATTGAAGATAGGTGGACGATGCTAACTTGGGTCACATTTAGAATCCAGCAATACCTCAATAGGTTTCAACAAATAAGTGATCAATACTGTGCAACATCAACGGCAAACGAGATGTATTTTCATTCCCACCAAATTTAAAACCAAGAAATAAATGCGATGCCCATTGTCTGAGGTTTTACCCTTTTAGAAGCACTTTTCATCGATCAAGTGAAGGCTAAATTTCACTTGTTTCCGGCCACAAGTATCATAGGCGAGCTGACCCTACCAACATTTGGTTAATAAAAATTTCACCCAATTTACCGTCGTTTAGCAAATCAGTTGAAAATGTAAAATTGTCTCGATTTTGTACCTGTTTCATTAACTATTTCACCCTTTTCTCCGTCGGCGTCGTGAAATTGCTCGTCTACTGTCTCGCTCAAATCATGAGCAGAGTTGTCATGACTTGATCCACTTCCTTCTCTGCCTGCTGTATCTGATGCGGATGACTGAGGCTGCTGCTGAAGATGAACTCCTTCCTCCCCTGACCAGTTTGAGGCCTCTTCCAATACATTTCGCTCCCAGTTCGGCTACACAAAAAGAAGTTTAAGACTATAAAGCTGAAAAGGTTATCTCAGTTTTTGATAATTGGCCTTTGATTGACGGATGAGAACACACACACTCAGAATTTATCACCGTGGCCAATCTGAGGAACCACTCTCCTTGATACTGCTTGGCGGTATATCATTTTAACAAACGATCTAAATACTTCTTGAAATCATCTTCTTAAATTGAGGACAGACACGAAACCTCCGAATGGGCCAAAACTCTCCAATATGCCAAAACTCAATCAAAACGGGGCCAGAAAACACTAAGTTTTACAAAAACTCGCTGAAAAAACTGACAAAAAATAGTTATTGGCTCTTTTTCGTCCCCCCCCCCCCCACACGAGCATCAGTTTTATGGTCTAACGAGTGGTTTTACAAGGTTGATTATGAAGACTAAACATGTTTGTCATGGCCTAATTAGTCTGCATGTCAATTTTCACAACAATCGGACAATGTGAACGGTAATTTCAACACAGGCAATACACAATTTCATACACAAGCAAAAATATGACCGATAGCGCTACAGGGAAAAACTGAATGAGTAAAATTTAGAGTCTTCAAAATTTCTTAAGTGACGCACGCCAATTATGAAGCATTAGCAGTACCAGTCAGTTTTAAAAAAACTTACCAACTAACGTGCCTCAACTTATAGAGCAGTCAATGGAGCAGTAATAACATGAAAAAATTAAATGTAATGAAAATAAAATGAATTTTTTTTAAATTGAGACTTTTTGTGAAAATCACCCCCCTACGCCATATTAAGTACAAAAAGATACATTTCGATCCCAGTAATAAATCAATTATGGCAAATAAGCTTCCTTCAACGAATTTGGAACGATTTCTTTGACGGATCAAATCTCCGCTTACGCGTTAATAGCGCGAAATATATCGCGCGTTAATTGTCCCAAATTGTCCACAGGTGAAAATCTTTCCAAATTTCAGCTCAGGACAACAATACTTTTCGAATGATATAAAAAAAACGTCATAATGGAAAGTTAAAAACCGTCAAAATGGAAATTTGAGTCTCACGCACTAACCATTCAGCCACGGATGCTCAAAATCCCCAAAAACTAGCCACCAATAACGCAGCTACATACGCTAATAAATTGCCAATTCGCTAATAAATTGCCAATTCGCTGCAGCAAAAGTAACACCAAATACAAAAAGATGAAATTTTGCATGTAATAAATCGCAAATCATAAAGCCAAAAGGGCAATTTTTTTAACTCCCAGAACTTTACAAAAAATTATCACAGGTGAAATATCTTTCCAAATTTCAGCTCAGGACAACAATACTTTTCGAATGATATAAAAAAACCGTCAAAATGGAAAGTTAAAAAGTCGAAACTTGTCTGGAGAAAAAAACCACCGAGCATAAATATTCCGTTACTTTCGTTAGTCGAAACAATAATTGTCTGTGTTAAAATCCTTAGCATTGGCTGTACTTAATAGCTGGTTATTGATGAAAATCAACCTTTCAAAATGAACACATTTTACCGCAACAATATTTGGATCGCAACAATATCTGCGACTTAGGTTGTAAAACAAACTAGTTCATATTATAACACAAGCATTGCTTGTGTAATTATAAAAATTTGCAGGTGGGGGAAGGAAAGAGCCTAATTTTTTTTTGACAAATTATGATTCTTTTGTGCTCAAAAATCATGGTAAAGTTGTGAAAGAAAAAGACTTCAAAATGACTCAAAAGTCAACACAGAGGCGAAGCTGCACTTCGCAAACACTTGCGAGAACACGACCAAAAAGCAGCTCTCTCAAGTGACATGAGAAAAAGTCGAAATAAGCCTCGAATTTGCAAAAACTCGAGGCTTAGCAAAAACTCCAATTAGCAAAAAACCTCCGACCTAGCAAATTTGAGTCTCACGCACTAACCATTCAGCCACGGATGCTCAAAATCCCCAAAAACTAGCCACCAATAACGCAGCTACATATGCTAATAAATTGCCAATTCGATGCAGCAGAAGTAACACCAAATGTGTAAACTTATAACTATTCGAGTGTCAAAGCACATGTTATCAATAAGCTGTAAATTAAGTCGCAACAAAATTCGCAACAATATTTGCGAATTAGGTTGGAAAAAAGAAAGTTGTTACGATAACACATTGCTTTGCAAGTGTAATTAAACCGTTACAACCTTAACTGCACTTAATAGCCTTAATTGCATTAAGATGGCTGACGCTTCTAATGCCCAAATAACTCGAAATCATTTTTCTGAATTTCGAATCAAACTCACGGTGGTGGAAGGGAATGTCTTTGCGGGCATTGCCTTTCTACTCTGGCCCTGGAGATACTGCTCTGCATGGAGTGCTGTCTGGAGAGTGGGAAACAGGTTCTCGTACTGCATCGGATCCGCCAGTGCCTCGGCCTGTTTGGGACTCGTCTTGGCCAGACTACCTTTCCACAGCTGCACTACTCGCGATATCTGGCTGGGCAGGTAAGTGCGGGCGAAAAAAGCCGCCTCTGGGAGTCGGTTGGTATTAATCAATATGTCCAGACATTCATCCAGCCTGTACACAATTAACAGACATGCTACCATACACCCATGTATCAGGAACGTATCAAAGCATCATTGCAGCCATCGACGATTTAATTTAATATGGCATATTGAAACAGCCATATACGTTTGTTTACAGCACATGTAAAGACATCAATGCTTCACAGGTTGTCCGATTCAAATTGAGCGCATAACTAGCTCCAGACTAAGAAAATTCATTTTGTATAGTCTGTTGTTTCACCTGATAATGAAGCTTGAATTCATACTTGAAAATTTATCGATCTTACTTTCCGAGCATGAAGAACGAGTAGAATGCCACATTATTGATCTCCGCCGTCTCAGCTGCACTCGCCAGTTTGGCCATCACGTCAGTCTGTCCTGCTGAAGACGCCAGAAGCAACAATCCAGCATAGTCCTGCGCATGATGCAGACACTCCTGAGCTAGTCCGAACTGACACTGGCGAATGGCCAGGTCAGCAAGTTGCTTCCACTTCTGCTGGGACTCTGACTCCCGGGCAATGTGGTAGGCCGTCTTGAGGTCTCCGAGTTGCAGTGACAATTCGAACTTGTGTTCCGGGTCAGTGGTCACAGTCAGGGCCTGTGCTTTGAATCCCTAGAATCAATGGTAATGTAAATTCAGATAACCTGTCGCAAATGAGTTCGTACACGCCGCAATTGGTTCGACCCCCCAAAAACACCATGAAAATTATCGCCTTATAAAAAATCCTGTTTTCGCAAAAAACGCAAATATTTATGAGCCTTTTTGGTAAACTCCAGCTCAACTGTAAGAAAAATATTTTATCAGATATGGCGTTAAGTTATAAATTTAACAAATCTACAAGAGAGCACTATATTTAAATTAGATACGATTCAAGCTGCCTCACGAAACTTTGCGTGCCTCATGAAAGTCCAGCAAAATATGAGCGTTTGTGATAAAAATGCCAGATAAAATAATGAGAAAAATAAAAACTGAAAAAAACTACAAATAAAAAAAAATATGGTTTAAATAGTGTCTGACTTGTTTCTCGAGGAAGTTGGCCACTCTTGTCCTGTGTTCCCTGGGTATCTGTGGCAACACCTGGTCTGCAATCTTGAAGTCCTTCCGCATCACATGTGTCTGGTACTGCAACACACTCAACAGCACACTGTAGCTGACCACACAGTGCTCCTTGTCCCCCAGATACAATCTGTTATCCTTGGCCATGTAGCCCAGCAGATACATTTCCCTATTACACACAAACACGGCACAACATAAGATAGATATTTACAATTACATTGCATAAGAAAACATAACAAACAGATGAACGAACTTGAAAGAGAAAAAATCCATGATCTTTATTGAACAATGATGTCCTGTCCAGCCAGTATTGATTCAATAAGGGCGGATTTAGGGCGGGGGGCGGCGGTATCGGACGTCTTTCCCTCAGGGATTCGACCCCCTGCCGACCCAAAGGGTCCCCCCTTTGGTACCTTTTAAGAAATCCATTTTTGGCCGACCGACCCTAAAATTTTTCTAAAGGCGCCTTGGACGCCAAAATATACTAATTTTGAGGGGGGAGCGCGCTCCGAAAAAACGCGATTTTTTGGTCAAAGATTTCCAAAAAGTGCCTAAAAACGCCTTTTTTGGATTATTTTTTTTTCAAAATTTTGCCTGCGGCGCAGAAAAAAAAATTTACCCAAAACAGGGACTAAACCGTAAACCATGCTTAGGGAGAGCTCGAAAAACATTAATTCGGTCTCGACCTAAAAAAAAAAGGTCGACAAAATTTTCGAAATTTTATTTTTTTGAAAAACCCAAAACACTAATATTTATCCCCCAGTGCTTCATAAATAATAAATACATCGTGCTACCACAAACACAAGACAAGGGTACTATTCTTCAATCCTCAACCACTCCGACGCACTCAATATTTTTTACCCTATCAACCTTGACAATTTTTTTTGGTGAATTAGCACAGCTCGGGTCATTAAAGACAGCTGGACCAGAAGGCTTCGAGTACATGCAATTCAAACTACAATGAAACTCAACGCCCGTAATTTTAATATCGACTTCAAGCAAAACGCTTTTTCGAGCTTCTTTTGTCTGATGGGATTTCTGAACAGCGTGGTACAATTTAGCAATTTTTTATAAATTCAAACTGAAATGAAATTAACCTCAACCATATATTTATTTAAACCGCGAATGTCAACAACGAATGAAGTCCCACATTAATGTGCTTGCACGAAGTCTAATCATATCGGAAAGTTTTGAAAAACAATGAGTTCTTTCGGCATCGGCCTACTTATATCTGAAATAGGACCCCATGGGTGAACAGTTTTGTTAAGCTTTGTTTACTTAGGTCGGACATCAAATTCGTTATTGGCCAATGATTTCCCATGTATGAAACTAGTTTACCTCGGCGGTGCACTTGAATCAGAAGAAACCCTGAAGCGTCAGACACGTTAGATGCGAATTGAAAAACTCAAACCTATCATAATAACACCACTTGCGTAGTAGACCACTCGCTTAGATCATTTCCAATTTAGTGAGACAGAAACACTGCTGCGGTGCTCTGAAGGAAACAAAACCAATAGAGAGTTGGAAAAAAGTCAATCAACGCAAGTAAACAAAAAACTGACTTGTTTTTTAAAAAAAATTCAATTTTCGAATTTGGAAAAAAATTAAACTTGGAAAATATTTTTTTGGATTAAAAAAAATATGATGGCTGCAAAGCTCTTTGAACACTTTAAAAAAAAATAAACCCAATTTGATAAAGCTGGATCAAGAGGTAAATTGTTTATTTCGCTGGGTTGCTTTGAGTGTTTTAATCCATTGAGAATGAACTGTTAACAAAAAAATGAAACAAAAAAAATATGTTCAACAGGCCCTTGGAAAAGTTTCAAAGAACTCACTGATAATTGAATATCATTTTCGTAATAAGAAATCAATCATGTTTATCGTGACCTTAACAATTTTGCTGTTGGATAGTGGAGTTTGTATTCCTTTAAACAAAAGAATTGAACTGAACTTGAAATCAAAAGTCAAACTGCAAAAAAGAAAATATGAGCCTGAACAAATTTTAAGACTTTTGGATAGATGAAATATATAGAAAAGTTGTGCATGGAAAACTATCGGAACGAATAAAAAACAATGTGACGCTTGCAGAGGGTTTCTCGGAATTGGAATTTGAGTGTAGTTATCCATTCAGAATAATGTTAATATATAAAAACCAAAAAGAACACGGCCAACAAGCACTTTTGGAAAAGTTTCAAGAACTGACTAAAAGCAATTCCATGATCTAAAAATTTATTCTTTTTTGAGTTTAATTAACAGCTTGGCATCACTTACTATAAAACACAAGCATAGCATTGCAAGAAATCCGGATGCAAATTATTGGGAAAGCATTTGCAAAATCCCGAAAAAAAATCATAAATCTACAAAAATTCATCTACAATTTTTTTTGTCAAATTCAATTTTACAAAAAAATATATGGAAACAATCTCCAGCGTTAAAAAGCTTTGACAACATTCATCTAACGGTAGCTAAACTGGGAACAATACTTAAAAAATTCAGATCTAGTTGGCGCCTTCAGAAGACGCAAAAAAGGCGACTACAGAGGCGAATAATGCTTTTAAACGAAATGAAAAAAAAATATTCAAAAAATCATTATACAGAGGCCAAGCGGCGCTTCGCGTCACTTGTAATGCCAAGCAAGAGCAACATTGCAAGCTAGCAAATCGTAAGGCAACGGAAATAACAAAATCGAAAAAAAAACTTACTTGGACAAAAATTGAAATAGTTTCAGTTTAACATCGAAAAAAAACAAATTATAAAATAAGCTTCTGACATTTAATGAGCGGCCACTAGGCTGACAACAAGTAGTAAGACGCCTTTTGAGCTGAAAACAAATGAATACCATCACATAAAATTTGAACAACTATGTCTTAAATTGTTGAAATCTTGCAACACAAGGGACCTAAATTTTTCAAAAAAAAAAATCATTTTTGCTCTTAAAGCGACAAAAAAATAATTTAACAAAGCCGAATAAACAAATGCCGAAACCATTCAGGTCGAAACGAAAAGGAAAACCAGGGAAAAAATACGCCATGTTTTTAGTTTGATTTACTGCTGTCAATGAATATTATTTTATAATTTGGTTGTTTTTTTTGTCGGTTTATTTTCCGGAGCGTGAATTTTTCCATAATTTCCTTTTTCCATTTGATTTTCTATATTTTTGAGTGCTGTTGCGTGTTAAAAAGAATCTTTTTGTCGTTGTATTTTCCGAAGCGTGAATTTTTCAATATTTTCCATTTTTTCATTTCATTTTCTATAATTTTCTTTTTTACTGCGGTTGCGTGAGCACGTGTCTGGTAAGACACTTGCTCACGCAACCATGCGAATAGTAAAGGAAGCGTCATCGGGTAAGATACGTTTCTCGTTGGAAGCTTTGTTCGCCGAATTCTTCTGCTAAACTCTTCAGCTTACTTTATTCGTATATCAAGTTCTAGCTGTTCATTTTCTCCCTCTAGTTTGTTTTTTTTTTGTCGGTTTATTTCCCGAAGCGTGAAATTTTCTATAATTTCCATTTTTCCACTTGATTTTCTATAATTTTTTTTACTGCCGTTGCGAGAGCATGAGAATAGTAAATGTAGTGTTAGCGGGTAAAATAAGTTTCCCGTTGGAAGCTTTGTTCGCCGAATTCTTCTGAAAATCAACAAAGCCTATAAAAGTGAAAATCACTGCGTCTTTTACTCTTAAGGAAAACATATCAATCAAATCCACAGATCAGAACAAATCAAAACAACTCATTGACAAATTACCTGATGGACTTTTAAAAATAGTACGAACTGTGTAAATCTGAAAAAATCCAGGATTCGGAAATTAAGACGACAAAAATAATCAGACACGATAAGTTCCACAATTAAATTTTTCTCGAACCTTTTTATTCAATTCCATAAACACAAAAAAAACAATAAGGTCCGACAGGAAAGCGAAACAAAGACCTTAGAGCGCAAAAGCAATCTAGTTACCTCTAGAGCAAGTGAGAAGGTGCCTGGAAGTTACTAGGATTTAATTATGGAGCAAGTTCAACTACTTACGGAATAGTAAGAAAGTTGTTTACATAGAAAAAGTTTTAATTACCGATTACAAGACACTTGTTCTCGCAAATGCAATAAAAAGTGTACAGAGAGGCGAAGTTGCACTTCGCATACACAAGCAAAAATATGACCGATAACGCTACTAAGAAAAACTGAATGAGTAAAACTTTGAGTCTACAAAATTTCTCAAGTGACGCGCGCCAACTATGACGCAATAGCAGTACCACTCAATTCGTAAAAAAAATTCTAGCCCCTCAATTCATCGAGCAGTATATGGAGCAGTAATAACATGGAAAAAAATTTGGATATTTTTTTGGGAAAATCATCCCCCCCCCCACACGCCATATAAAGTACTAAGTAATGATTTTCGCTCCTAGTAACAAATCAATTATGGTAAATGACCTTCCTTCCACCAATTTGAAACGTTTTCTAAGATTTATTAAATCTCCGCTTACGCGTTCATAGCGCGAAATATATCGCGCGTTAATTGTCCCAAATTGGCCAAAACAGCAATTTTAAACCCCCACAACTATACTAAAAAAAGATCACAGGTAAAATATTTTTCCAAATTTAAGCTCAAGACAACAATACCTTTTGAATGATAATAAAAAAAATCCCGTCAAAATGGCTAGTTTAAAAGTCGCAATTTGTCTGAAGAAAAAAACCACCCCGAGCACAAATATTCCGTTACTTTCGTTAGGAAAATCGGAACAAAAATAGTCTATGTTAATATCCTTCGCATTGGCTGTAAGTAATAGCTTGTTATTGATCAAAATGAACACTTTCAAAAGGAACATACTTTATCGCAACAATATTTGCGTCGCAACAAAATTTGCGACTTAAGTTGAAAAAAAAGATAATTCATTTTATAACAAAAGCTTTGCTTGTGTAAAAATAATCCATGAAAATACTGAGTATTCTTGTGCCATCTCAAGTTCATCAAACTATATTCAATCAAATACAAAGGCAAAGCTGTAACTTCGCAAATAAAAGTAAGAAAAAGGCAAAAAATAGCTTTAAAATTTCACAATTTGGAATGAAATGAACTGGAGAAAACCACATTAACTTTGGATGTACTTAATCAAATGTATCTCAAAATGTAAGATGCAATATGCATCTCAAAAATCTCTTGAATAATAGTGATTAAGAATAATTCTCAAATAAAACACTTGAGAATGCAAAGCTGCACCTTCGCAAACAAGCGAAAAACGGCCAAAACGATAACGAAGATAAAACTAATTATTATCTGTATCTTCCGGAACAGAACCACCGTTCTGAAGATTAAAAGTCACTCGTCCTATCATCTGCGCTATGGAAGCTTGACAATCTTCAACATAGAGGCTGAGCAGCGCAAACTTCATCGAGAAAACAAAAAACAGTCTCTAAAAACTGAAATATAAAAATATGGAAATCAGCGTAGATTTAGTATACGTTTGTCATGAGTCGGAATCAGACCTCGATGTTAGAAGCCACGCGTTCTTACCTCTCAGTCACAGACGCTAAAAAATCGGCAAACACTGGCCACAAATAAAACAGAATAGAATATGAAACTTCCAATGCTACAGATCGTGATTATAGCAAAAGGCCTACCAAAGGAGCACTTAAATTTGCTAGTTAGGTTGAAAAAAATTAGTACTAAAAAAAACCCCATTGATAAACCAGACACAAAAATATAATGATATGAAGCAAAATTAATCCAGATTCAACGTTATTGCTGTGAAACTACGCTCTGCTTGTTTAACTATACTGTTATATGAAGCAACTCGCTTTTTTCGTTTCATTGGATGAATTTAACATATGGGCGAAGCTTTGCGTTGCAACCACTAGCGAGAACACGACAAAAAACAGCTCCATAAGGTGCAGAAAGAAAAAGTAGAAATAAGCCTCGAGTTAGTAAAAATTCGGCTAGATCTAGGATTCGATCTGCGACCTAAGATTATGACTCTCATGCCTAACCACAGCCGCGCACGCTCACTACATCACAAACACTAGCCACAAATAAATTAGGGAACAGATGCTATGAAATTTTCAATGCTGCATCGTGATTATAGCAAAAGTGCCACCAAATAAGTGAACAGTTTCCACTTTCAGTGAACATTTTTATTTGCGAGTTAGATTTGAAAAAAGAAGGTTTGTACTTATACACTAAGCTGAATTCTTGTATAAAAAACGTCATTTGTATCAACTTATTCAAAAAAAAATTTCAAAGCACTTGCTATTAATTTGTAAAGGTTGTCTGCTGCAAAACCGTCACAAACAAAAGTCACACTAACATTTCCTTCGCAATATAACACTACGCCTCGTTGTGTAAAAAAAAATAATTAAATTTGAAAAGTTAAAAACAGAGAGAGAGAGAGAGAGAGAGAGAGAGAGAGAGAGACGGAAGTTTGAACACAGAGGAATAGTTGCAATTCGCATAAAGAAGCAAAACTTTGACCAACAATACAAACAGCACAAATGGCGCGTTGATTAAAAACTACCGACTGAACAGAAGCCAAAAGTTTGACACTATCTGAAAGAAATTTCATTTTCACCAAACAAAAACAAAGAAAAACAAAACTATGACTCTGCAAAAACGGCTTTTCATTCTGATCCAGCGCCAATTAAATTCTTGCAATTTTACGAGAAAAACAGTTCCACGTAGTCGTCTAGATGCTTATGCCATTTAATAAAATAGTATGTTTGCAATGCAGATTGTACTTGGTTGTAAAAATGTGGCCCCATAAAACAAGTGTAGTGTTCTAGTCAAACCGCTTTATACACGCCAAGCCTTGTTTGTGCCTACAGATGATCCATCGAAATGAGCAAACGCCACAATTAATATTGAAGGGGTAATGAGACTCAGCGAGTTCCTTATCCCGAGAAAGTTGCCAATTCTTCCAGTCTTTTTTTCAGATTCTTTTCAGGTAACAACAACCACTTACTAGAATTATTTAGTGGCAGAATGAATTGTGATATTTTCAATTCAGCATTTAACTATCAATCTTAGTGCTACGTGAGAAACTTGTTTTACTTCCACCACTCTTGCATGTGTAGTTGAAATACAAACTTGTTAGTTTCCAAACTGAACGTACGTTTTGCTGCAAAACAACGAACAAGTGACATGAGAAATAATCATGCATTAAAAATTAAAAAGCAATTAGTTTACTCATTTTCCTTTCCGCTTTCAAAAAATACCATATTTCATTTTAATTGCTAACGTAAACGTTGATTGGAAAACGTTGATTAGTAATTAATCATTATGTACTTCTTCAGGCATTTTTGAAAAATTAACTTTGTATTTTAATTATCAGCTGAACTTAATTAACCAGTGATAAATCTAACCTGTCAAGGTGTGAAATGGTCACAATTTCCCCACCAACAAAGTAGTTCAGTCTGTTCACATTGTTTGTGTAGATGAAACAGTCACCCACCCACAGTCCTGTCAATCAAAAGAAAACTGCCCATATTTTTATCTTCAAAACATTAGCTTAGTTTTTTCTAGATAGAGGCACAAAGTAATGGATCAAAAACCGCCATTTTTGATTGAAAGACAACTGAAAGTAGAGACAGAAGTGGTGTTAAAATAGGAAATATTGTTACCTGTCTTGACAACCTCTCCGATTTCTCCTACCACATCGAATGCCTCCTCGATGCCGTCCTCTGGAATGGCCGCCCTGTTCTCCATGCCCTTGGCCACTGCCTCCGACGAGTACTTGAGGATGAAGTAGGACTCTTCGGTGGCTATACACACCATCTCTCCAGACTCACTCCAGATGATCTAAGAAAAAAAGGACTTTCAAATTATCATCAGCAAAACTACAGCGCTGATTGAAATTATCCGGACAAAGTCAATTCGCTCAAAACGTTTGAAAATCACTTTTGAAAAATTCGTTTTTACCGAATATAATTTAATTATACCAAAAATTAGAAGATTAAACCCTTGTAAAACTTTGTTGTGCTACATATAAACTTGTAGTCGGCAGTTGACGGGGTATTTGAAGTGCAATTCTTGATCGACTAAAAAAGCTAAAACTAACCCATTTTGGTGTTAAATTTTAGATCAGAGCTTCGCACTAATACTGATCACTTTTTGTTTAATGCCAGCCCAATTTAAGAACGCCGCGTTCGAGTTTTCTAAATCTTTCGTGTGGTCCGGATAATCCAAATCAGCACCGTAAAAACAAACACTCATCGACAATGGCTCAGAAAAATCTTTAGCTGATTAAAAAAAAAGTTTTATGTTTGAATTTGGAAACAGAGTCGAAGATGCCATTTTCAAAACTTTGCAAATTTCATCGAAGAATCATTGATATACAACCGGAACTAAATTAAACACAGATGAAACACAGGCGTGCGGCTAAGTAGCTATGAAGGCATAAAATGTAATAAGGAAAAAACGAAGTAGGCCTTGATTAAAAAAACTTTAATTGGGCCAGAATCAAACCGCCAAAAATAACAACAGACAGCTGGAAAAAAGACATGAAACGACAGTAAAAAAAGAAACTGAACGCTTGCGCTTCAAGGTCGTCTGTTTCTCTCACTTTATGCAGCAAAAATCTTGAAATTTATCTGTGAAAGCTGAAGTTATTTGAAAGCTATACTTATTTGAACTTTCCGATCGATTATCATGACAACGAATGGAGAAAAGTTATCTCAACAAGGACAAAGTTGTGTGGATGAGGCACTGTTGAAGCTACTGGAGAAGATCCCAGATAAGCCAACAAGGATCGCAGTTCAGGAAATGGCAGTAAGACAAGGGAAAAAAGATAAGGAATTTGGAGAAAGATTGGATAGACTCACATTGTTTTGTGATGAAATGAATCTAAGACTGAGGGAACAGGAAAAATACACCTCAAAAGACTCTGTGACTATAAGAAACCCCCCGTTGGACCCCAAAATACAGGGACAGTAGCTAAAAAAAAACATCGTGAGCTTTGCTAAAAATTACTTTGATATTGATCTCAATGGTGACAAACTTATAACATTTTATATACTTCCTAAGGGCAAATTGTTGCCTAACGATATGTTTCAAACCGTGATATTGAAATTTGTTCACTTTCACGAAAAGGCTGACTTTAGAACAAACGGAAGTTGTCGAAAATATTGTGTAAATCCATTAAATGGAAAAAACATTTGGCTGAAAGAGCGATTGCCTTCAGTCGAGGCTTTGCTAAAACAGTACACTGATGAGATGAATCTGATCACTGCTACAAAAAACTGCAATGTAAGCGTACTTTGTCATGACAACGAATGAATATTGTGTGGTTGAGGCACTGTGGAAGCTATCCCGAAAGCGATTCACGCTGACGGTAAGTCAGTATCGAGTATCAAATCTATCAAACATTCAAAAGTGAGTGTTTAAAAATTGAATGTAGGAAGCGATTTCCGCTAATATAATAATAAAAAAACGTTTTATTCAGGGATAGGGAAGTTTTTGTACCAGTAAAAACAATCAATGATATTCACGGACTAAAGGATACTATCAAAAGGCAAAAACAAAACAATCAGCAGCCTCAAAGATTTAACAAAAGAAACTTCGCTGCAATCAGCCCAGTTGGCAAAGCGTTAGCGAGTTATGCTGATCTCTCTCCTGAACAAAAAATACAGGTGAAAAGTCGAATGCAAAATTCGTACTGAGCCGCAGTGAAGTTAGTAGTTTTTGATAGATTTGGAGCTTACTAGCCATATGCTGTATAACAAAAAAACAAATCGATCAATCATTCATTCCAAATTATTTTGCCTCATGAGCAATGTAACTAGAATTAGCTATTTCGCGTGCTTAAGATTTTACAATAAATCTGTTGACTATTATTTACAATAACAAATGTAAAATATTTCATGTCTCCTTCCAGAAACATGTGAATAAAATTATGTTGTTTTGCTCTCTGCAAAATTATTACAATTATTGAAATGCTTTGTAAAACTATATTTGTCCTCTGAAGTTTTGTAAAATTGAGAACAGAAAACGAGAGCGGTTTAAGTATTTCAGGATGAAGTCCTAGAAAGTCAGTTAGCTGGATGGCAACAAAAATTAACCTATAATGCGACTTCTTTTTGCGACAAATGTGAGTGTTTAAAAATTGAATGCAGTAAGCGATTTCCGCAAAGTATTAATTAAAAAACGTTTTATTCAGTCAACTAGATAGTGCTCTACAATTCACAGATAGAAATAACAATTGCTTTTCCTTTCTGAAAGTCTGCACGAAAAGCGAGCGAGACATATTTGAGCAAAAAAATGAAACAAAATTACATTATGATGCAATATACTATCACTGAACCGTAATTTCAGAGAACTAGAAACATATGTGAGCAGTCTTGGAGACAAACCGACGGGTTTGCTTTTAACGGAAACGTAGTTACACGAATCATCGAACCTAATTTTTTTCAAACTACTTGATTATCAAAACATCTACACTTGCAATAGAACCAACAGAAGAGGTGGGGGGTGTAGCTGATCTTTTTGAGAAGAGGTCTTAATGGTAACGTTCTACTAAAAACTTCAACAGACAAAATTCAGCTACTAACAATTCGAACTAAAATGAAAAAAAAAAAATGATTCGACAATTCTATATAAATCACCACAAGAACCCCTTGAAATCTTCCTTGAGACGCTGATAAATCACATACTTGAGCTTAAACTACCCACAAACGCTAAGCACTTGGTGTGCAGAGATTGCAATATTAACATTATAAAGAAAAATGATCCGTCTGAAAATTTACCAGAAAGTCTCTATAATCGACCTGACGCTCAAATCATTGCTGAATGCCGCCGGCAAACTGAAAACTCAGAGAGCACGATCAATCTATTTTTTACCAACATTGAAGGAGAAGTTTTAGTAGAACCGACATCTATCACTGATCATAACACTCTGTTCTTAAAAAGCGTTGTGTTTGAAGAGGAAAACCAAAAATCAGTTACTAGATTTGGCAGGACCTGAAAAAAATTTGATGATGATAACTTCAAAACTGCTTTTAAATGCAAAATAAATGTAGCATTTGAGTCAATGCATCAAAGTTTTCTATATATACCCCTCACCGAGACATTCATTTTACTAACAAATCCAATTCAAAATACTCTAGATAAATTCTTGCCAGTTCATGAAATCAAAAACAAAAAAGATACCAAAACCTGGATTTTAAAATCAAACGTGAAAGAACGGAAAAACACAAATTAAACAAACTTTTTCTACAAAACCCCTAAGAAGCTGCAAAAAACGTATAATAAAGACAACGTAACAAAATTAAATCAATGGTAAAAGACTCGCTTACTAAAAATTATGAGACAAACAAACATCAAATTTTTTGAGTTCGTCAACAGTGTGAAGCCAACAGTAAAAAAGACTTAAAGGAACAAGGCAACATGAGTAAAATATCAGCTGAGGCTTTTAATCAATTTTTTATTGATATTGGACCGGAGCTAGCTGAATCTCCAAATACTGAACGCAATTTTAAAATCTAAAATGACAGAACAAGCAACTTTTGAAATCATTGGTAGTTTGCAAAACAAAAAGAGCCATGACTGCTATGGACTGTCAAAGTTTATCATAAAAACAATTAACCCGGCGATCTGTTCAACTCTGAGTTTTATTTAATCGATTACTTGAAGTTTTATCCAGAATGTTTAAAACTTGCGAAAATTATTCCAACTCACAAAAGTAGAAAAAAAGACTTAAACACAAATTACAGGCCAATATCACTGCTACTAGTTTTTGGAAAAAAATTTGAAAAAAAATTATACTGCAGGATTGTTAGGTTCCTATATAAAAAATGAAGTGTTTTCGAGCGAACAAAGGTTTTCTGTCAAAACGATCAACAGTTGTTGCAACTGTCGAGTTTCCCAAATAAATTTAAAACCTTGTCAAATAAGAAAAATAATTTTTGCACCCTCATTGATTTGTCGAAAGCTTTTGATACAGTGAACCATGAAATTTTGCTTCAAAAAGGCTCAATGAACGGATTGAGCGGAAAAACATTTTCGATTCTGATATCATATCTCGAGAACCATTACCAATTGGTTCAAATGAATCAAACAAAGAGTAGTCAACATGACAAAAAACTCGTGGTTTCTCACGGATCAGTTTTGGGTCCACTTCTATTTCTACTTTTCATCAATGATCTCCCTGAGATTCCAAAAAATAACGAGATGATACTAACCTATATGGCTAAGTTTCGGAAGAAAACTATAATCTGGATTTGAATAACATAGAAACATGGATGGCAGAAAATAAACTTACGATGAACCAAGACAAACCAAATTAATTGTACTCAGTTCAAAGAAATTAAAACCATTGGTAAAATTTCGAGGGAATGACTCAAAAACAGAAAATGATGTTAGATATTTAGGAGTTCAAATTGATCGCAACTTGAGTTTCACTGAACATATCCGAAATAAGAAAAACAGATGCGTAAAACTCATTTCGTTTCTATACCAAATTAGAAACATGTTATCGGTTGAACAACTCATTATAGTCTACGAAAGCTACATGCAACCAATTCATTAATATGCAAAACTGATTTATGGCTGCAACTCAAAAACAAATCTAGATAAACTACAGAAACAAATTCTTTCTATGAAATAATCACTAGGAAAAGAAAGTTCGATGAAGTACGAAAATAGAAAGTTTACTCAATGTATGAGCTACATACATACGAAGTCTTAAAAATACTAACAATAGTTATAAGAGAAGAACAAAAAGTAAAGATGTGAATAATTTCATAACATCAAAAGAAATAAGTAAGCATCTGTAAACGGACACACGGATTAGAACTTTACAAACGCGATCTGTAACGAATAAATTTCATAAAAAGAAAAAAGTGAGCGAGTTACACTCCTTTTTAAAAAGATTGTAAAATTAATCACAAATTGTTCCGCTGCGAAATATGATAATAAAGTTCCATTTTCGAAATTCGAAGTCGATCAAGTTTTTCGTGACATTTACAATTTCACTTCTGGATGGTCGAGTTTGCCTTCTTTTTAACCTTTTAACAAAGGAAAGGAACTGAACTTAAAAAAGAAATCAAAAATCAAACCACTAAAAAAGTAAGTTTGAGCCCAAACCAATTTCAAAACTTTTCCTGAAAAAAATCATCATAACCTATTAAGAGTCTGAATTGTGTTCATCAAATCTTAACTAGATTACGCATATGCTCTATGGTCACTTGTAAATATTCAAAAAAGCCAACTGACAGTTGGAAAAGAGTGATGAACCTAAGGACACTGAAAAAAACGGGCATGCTTTTTTTTTAAAAAAAAACCTTCAACTTTTGAATTTCGAAAAAAAACAGATAGTCTCAAATTCATTGAATTTGTAGAACAATTTATGATGGCACTTTTCTTGTTAAAATTAACCCATTTTGAGAAAACTGGATCAATAGGTAAAACATTTCGCTGAGAAATCTGATAATTAATTTCCATTTTCGAAATTCGAAGTGGATCACATTTTCAAACCGATTAGAAGTGTGATTTGACAAAAATTACAAATCAAACCGCGAAAAATCAAAATTGAGCTTGATCAAATTTAAGGACTTTTTTCTGAAAAAACCAAAAAAATCAGGAAGACCTATATAAGAGAACTCATTCGGTTCATTACTCTTAAACACTGGCCACTAAAAAGCAGGCAGAACTAATGCATTGGTACGTAGCGAAAACGTCACTAAATGAGCACTTTCTTGCGAAGTCGGTAGGGAGGAAGAAAGTTGATTCGTAATATACTAATTAACTCGCTAGCTCGTCTGGGTAAATCAAGCTCGATTTTTAGGGTAAATCAAGCTCGATTTTTAGCTTCGTTCAATGACACTTAAAAAATTCAAGTCAAATTGTAGAACTGAGCGCAAAACAATTTAGAAATTTTTTGTGGAAAAAGACTACCTAAATAATTGAAATTCTTATTTTGTTGAATAAAAAAAACAATCTCACACATGTATCAATGACATTATTGTCATCTAACAAGTGAGACAGTAAATTACACCAATAAGTCGTAATGTTTCTTTGTGGTGATAACTTTGACTTATTCTTCACGAAATTAGGCTAACCACAAACACCATGTAGTTTTACGCCAATAACTTGGAGCTACATTATTTGAGCCGAAAACAGAAATTCAAGAAAATGTAAATGCTAACGTTTTCAGCAATTTAGTAGAAAAAGAATTTATTCCTCTAAACTTGCAAACAAAAACAATGATGCTTCAGTATAATTCAACAAATATACACGTTTTTCTAAATTTAAATCAATAAATCATTGAATTAACTGCAAACTTAGAAAGGACAGATAAAAGGCATCAGAGTCTGCCCTTGAAAAATTAGTCTCGGAATCAAAATCTTTTTAGAATCAAAATTACGACTAAAACGGCTTTATAATGGATACCAACAAGGGACACCTTTTCAGTTAATTTCAGTTAGCCAAAATTAATTGAAAAAAAAAAAACTAAAAAGGTTCGACCCTAGCCCATTGTTCCTTCCCACTCTTCGAAAGTGTTCAGAACAAAAAAGAATTTCAGCAACAACGTGGATTAACCTATGGTATTATCCCATAGTATTGTTTTTCTTACCAATCTTGGCTGGATTTCAATGCGCCTAATAAGAGAGTTGTCCTCCCAGTCATAGAACGCCAGTCCATGGTTAGACTTCACTCCCAGCATATTACCTCCAAAGATACCTGAAAAACAAAGTTCTCAATAGCAAAACTTATCCAACATACAGCTGGATAAGTGTCAATTAACAAAAACCATCAGAAAAACGATAGTTCTTTTCCAATTTTATCAATAGAAAACTGGATTCAAATCCAATTTTGACATTTTCACTCATGATTTTTCGATAAAACTACACTTTCTTAATTGAAGAGCATAATTTGTCTTCCTTTAGCGAACTAAATTGAATTGAACTTGAAAAGTAAACAATAGTTAATCAGCGAAAATCAAATTTCAGCGTGAGCAGATTTTCCTGAAAAAAAAAATAAGTGAGCTAAATAAGTGTTCATTGCGTTCATTGATACCTTAAAAAGAAATTAATCTAATATCTAAGTTTACAATATTAACACAGAAGCGAAGCTGATTTTTGCAAACACAAGCGAGAAAACGACCAAAAGCAGATCTAAAAAGAGATAAGAAAAAGGTAAAAATAAGCCTTGAATAAAACAACTTTCAGTGTCGGATTCCAACCTACGCCCTTTGGAGTCTCGCGTCCTCGCATCTGTGCCACGGGCTTTAACTTCAGCCATCATCAAAGCAGCTACAGATGCTACTAAATTGTAAATGCTAGACAGCAAAAACGCCACCAAATATTCACTAAGGTGTATAAGTTTTGCATTTCGAAAATTTCGCGAAATATATTTCTGAAAAGTCGATGAATAAAAATGCATCAACTAGTTAAACTTCTTGTAAATAATAGAATGTCAAAGCACATGCTATTAAACCACCAAAGCAGCCTGCTTCAAAAGTGCCACCAAAAGTAGCACGCATATTAGCGAATCATTGTCATATTACACTATTTTCCTTATTTATGGCTCCGGATAATATTTTTATCGCAGACATACCATCGACTCCCAACTCTGGTTTGAAGGTGCTCTTCTCCTTGAAGTTCTTGAATATCTTCACAGTGGTCTGCTCCCGTACAGCATAGACTGCTGAGTCGCTGGACCAGACGAACTCCAGTCCAGACCCGAAAGCCTTGTTCCTCAGGGCCATCGCAGTGTAGATGCTGAACTCTCCATCTCCACACACAGCCACAAACCTACACCATACTCATGAGTCATACATGCCATATAAAAAAACAAGGGCGCGCGATCTCTAAGCAGTCGGCAAGTAATTTCAATAGTCACTAAACAGTCGAAGGTGGCAAGAACCAAATCTGATTGGCTGAAAACAATTGAATCGCATAATTTTGAAATGGTTGATTTTAATATTTTCAGACAAAATATGAAAATTGACTTCAGTTATCTGTTTTTTTTTTAAATCAAAGTTCAAATTGCTTATAAAATTTTTATGGAATTAGCATAGCAATTCTTTCTTAATGGACGCTTACCTTCCGTTGGGACTGTGTTTGATGATCTGTGGGTACACCTCTGAGCTGCCCATCTCCTTCACATTGAGAGGCACCCTCTCTCCGTCCTTCAGATCCACATCGACCACTGCGTTCAGATTGCCCTGCTGGATCTCCGAGTGCTTGGCCCAGATGATCTTCCCGCTGGCGTCCATGCTCATCGCTGGCTCGTCTCTCCCCAGTCGGATCATAATGGAGCCCTCGTCATACCTAAAATCGACTTCCTCATTCAAAGCAGGCATAATCAGAACTCATTATTTCTATCGCATGTCCAAAGTACTAAGAAACCTGAGTTAACTAAATTCAAGCTGCTTACTGGCAAATCAAATTTGACAACCTTATAATACATCGATAAAGTATGCATGGTATTTTCATTCAGAAGAAGGCTAGTTTTTGCAGATAACATACCAAATTCAGACACTCAAAAATGCAAAAACAGACCTGAATAAAAATATGCCAAGATAGGCCATGAACATACAAGTTGCTTCCGCAACGCAAGTGATATCTCTGGCTGGCAAAAATCATCAAGAGGATAAATATTAACAATTGAAGATTACCCGATTGCGACGTGGTTCGAGTTCTTGGCACAGGCTATGGACCACACCCTCTCCAATCCATAGTTGAGGGTCGTCTCCAGCCGGTAAGTGCTCGAATGCCACAATCTAAGGGTCCCGTCCTCAGATCCTGTCAGGATGATTGGCAGGTGGGGGTGGAACTTCACTGCTGAGATATTATGGGCATGACCATCCAGAGTTTGAACACAAGATTTGTTCTAAAACGATGACCACTCTTGGGTAAATAATGAATTTTGAATAAAATTCATCTCAGAAATGAAAAAAATAAGTGTTCATTACCTTCATGACTCTTAAAAAATAAGTGAAAACTCCAGTCCTTATATTTCGGCATATGAAAACATCAAGTGATTGAAATAGCTGATAACTTTTTCTTTCTATTGTTTTCTAATTTCTGCTGCGTCGGCACATAAGCCGTTGACTTTTGCAACGGTTCTATTACCACTAAGTCTTCCATAACCATGTGATTTCATCTCCATCCTTCTAGTCTCACCTGGTAATCCCATATTTTGACGAGTCTGTCGTCTCCCCCACTGATGAGGTATGGCTTGTCTCCCCCAGTGTAATAATCCACACAGTTCACTCCCTTGTCATGGCCTTCTAGGGTAAAGTTGGGCTGGTTGGCACCGAACTGCCACACCTACACGCAAAAACACATGGTTGAAATTGCACATGCAGAACTGAAAGAATGTTACATTGAAATTATATTGAAAATTGATAGTGCTGATCTTCGCCGGTAGCCTTCAGGCAAAGAACATTCAACTCGCTCGAGGAAAATACTCAAGTCATCAACTTCTGCAAAAATAAAAAGGGCTCTTTCTACTAACCACTCCCCTCCACACATTTCAAATCTTGGATTTTTATATATGTTTTACGAGTTACTATTGCTAACCGCGGCTCTTTTCAACGTTCCCCATGCACATTTTAAAATTGTTTAACATTCTAGTTGTTTTACGTGTTATAATGACTGAACGCGTGATGTTCCGAAGTAAATTATGAAGAACAAATCTGTTAACGATAGTTAGTTTGTTCACCACGCAAATTTTCATAGCATTATGACAAACAATTTTTTCCAACTTGAAACTCAAATGAGGGGTTGGGGGACGGAAAAGAGCCCATAAAAGAAAAACAATATAGCATTTCCTTCGCTAGACTGCTCTAATAATGCTTTCGTTATTTTTTCCCTTGAATATTTTCTTGAAAAATGAGTCGGATAGCTATGAATATCTTTCAATTTTTCAACTTGCATGCAGTGCGATAAAGGTAACTGTTACGCAGAGGTCATTGAAAACATAGCCAGAAGACAGTTGAAAAATAAACAATTAACGCAAGAAAACAAAAAAAAAACTCGTTCTTGGAAAAACTTCGACTTACGTATTTCAAAAGTTTTTAATGATCTTTACACTAAAGGTGTTCGATAGTGGAGTTTGTCTTTCTTTTAACAAAAGGAACTTAAAAAGAAATCTGAAGTCAAAAATCAAAAATGAGCGTGAAAAAACACCAACACTTTTACAAAAACCTTCACTACGTTCATAGACTCTTAGAAAATCATGGCTGGAAAGGTTAAATATGCGGATGAAGTTTTCTGGTAGATATATTAGCCGGAAAAAAACCAGACGCAATAACGAAAGCCATGGTTGCTGTGCATGTAGCACAGAATGTCTTGAAAAAAAAACACATTTTTTGAGTGTCAGAAATGAAGATACTCGTATAGGTACTTCTTCTATAGATACTTCTATACGTCTTTAGATATGTCTAACAGCACATATCAAGCTCAAATCTGATTTTCGAGAATTCTTTTTTGATGTTAAAAAGAAATCAATTTACGCTCTCAATTACCAAAGCGAAAAAAGATGCAAAAAAAACGTGATTGAGGTTTAGTTTCGGAAGTGAACAGATTTTTTAAAGGTTTTCCACCGGAATGAAAAAAAAATTACACACATTGATCAGTTTTCTAGAATGGGGTTAGCTTTTTAAAAACAGGTCAACCAAAAACAATTCTTGAATTCTGAGGAGCTTAAAAGCAGAACTTTTCAATAAAAATGGTAGATGTCAATTTTTTGGCTTTCTTGAATTCGTTGACATTTTTTTGAGGTTTTCACTTTTTCGCTAAACTTAGTTTTTTTTCCAGTATGGGGCGATGAAATTAGGTCAAAACTGCAAAAATTAGAACTAAACATAGCCAACTTAGAACAAAAACAGCATTGGAATTGAATTGAGTGTTTGGTGTCATGCGTAAAATGTATAGCTAATCTATAGATCCTTCAGGTCTTTTTCAAAGACGCGGTCGGAACAATAAGTATCACGATGATTGTCATGGAAAATATTAGGCGCCCATGTAATCTGTGTACCTTGACGGTTTTATCGAGTGAGGCGGATGCGAACTGGTTGTTGTCTTTGGGATTGATTACAATCTGCATCACGTAGTGTCCATGACCCTCGAACGTCTGAATGTTCTGCCACCTCTTGTCCCAATCCCACAATTTGATCGACATGTCATCTAAATCGCACCCAAAAAATCATCAAAATTATCACCATAAAAGTGTCTTTCAGCACACTTGCATCGCAATCAAATGCCCTGTTTAAAGTCCTTTGATCACGTTCAAATTCATTACTTCCAGCGACAAATAACATGTCGCAAAAGCAACAGGAGAAATTGTGCCATAACTGTGATTCGGACAAATAAGTTCTGACCTAAAAAAACATAGCCAATCGAAGAGTAATGAACGCAACAAAACATTAAAAAAAACACTTACTTAGTCGAAAAAATTTCAACTTTCAAAAAAAAATAGATGCCCTTTAAGCTCTTTGAATTTCTAGAACGATTTATGATTACCGTTTTTTTTTGATAACTTTAACCCAAATTGAGACAACTGGATCAACAGGTAGTTAGTTTTTATTTCGCTGGAAATTGACAAAGTAACTTCTAATTTCGAAATTAGAAATCGTTCATGTTTTTTGCGCCATTTCCACGTTCGTATCGGGAGAGTGCAATTTACGTCACTTTCAGCAGATGAATTTCAATTGAACTGAAAAAGTGCATATATACCTAAGTGCATTCATAAATGCATCAATATGTATAAATGCACATCTGCAGTTATTAGAGCATTTAAAAAAAAACTTTATTCCTGGAAAAAAAACACCAAGACCTATCTAAGAGTCTTCACTACGATCATTACTCTTTATACAAAAAAAATATACAAAGTTGGGCATTTGGGGATGAACTGGAAATGAACTGGAACTCGTTGTAGTGTTATTTCGTGTTTCTACTCACCACTGGAAGAAAGGAGGTAAGGTTGAGTCGGGTGAGCAGCCAGACATCTGAGGTAGTCCGAGTGGGCCTCGAACTTGTGCACTCTCTCCATAGTGTTGTAGTTATGTACTCGGATGTGCATGTCGTCCTAAACACACCACATCACGTCATCTCAATTTATTTCAATCAACAAACCATGCCATATAAATGATTTTTAACTTTGTAACTTACCGCTCCGGCTACTATCCAGTTCTTGCGTGGGACGAATATGGCACATCTGACGGGCACATCACCGACCTCAAAAGACTTGACCATCTGCTGGGTATCGTAGTTCCAGAGGTGGAGACTTCCGTTGAACAGGGACACCATCATCCACGGCTCCGTCGGGTGGATATCGCAACATTTCACACGGTCACTCCTGGTAGAATGCACTTTCTAAACCACAAAAACCTTTTTTTATTCCCATGCTAAATCTGAAAATTAAACTCCATCCTCAAAAAAAGTCAATCACATTTTTTCATTCCATTGCCTGTTTTTTATTGGAGAGCGCAAAATGCCTTCCTTATAGCAAATGAATCTGAATTGTACTTTGAAAACACAGTCTTGCGATACAAAATTTTAAATGTTTAAAAACTAGGTGAACGAAAATTTTCGGCTAGGAGCCCAGCTAAAGCTGGAGGTAAATGTTTAATATTGAATGATATTGCTACACTGATGCGGCACAAAAAAAAATATTTCAAAAACTGGAATTTGCCCAAAACCTTAGTTGTTTCTCTAGTAAATCAAGCAAGAAAAGTAAAAAAAAATTTGAGAGAATCAATTTTCACAAAAAATTAGGAACAGCAACCGCAACCGATTCTTTCAATTGAACTTTTCATCTCAGATTTGATTGCGCACATTTTAAAAAAATTTAAAGAGTTTCTAAAACACGGTCAAAACATCTAAAAAACGGTCAAAAGATTTTCCAAATTCCATAATTTTTTTTCTGCAAAAAGCAGGTTGTGGCCGCTTAATCAGAGAATTTTCCCAAAACCAGGTACCTCAATTGAACACAACCTGAGCATTGGCACGGTAATTTTCGCAGAAAGTCAAAAATGTTCCGAAAAACTGTCCAAGCTTCGAAACTTTGTCTTGTTTGAAGGCAATAACTTTTTTCTTTAATAAAATGGGCACAGCCAATTATAATGGTAGGCTTTCCTATCGTTTCGATTAAACCTATGATATCAGATTTGGCAAATAGTTCGCGAGAAAAGTCCAAAAAATGGTCGTCAACAACTCTTCGATTGAACCCAATATCTCAGATTTGAGAGGGTAGTTCGAAAAAAGCCAACAACTTTCCAAAAAAGTCAAAATAAAAATTTTGACTTATCTGAGGTCCATAAATTTTGGAGTCAAAAAATTTGGGCGCAATCGCAAAAGCGAAAGAACTTCAACTTCTTACAACCCATTCGATTATTTGAAACCAAAATCTCAGATATGGCAGGGTAGTTTTTGAGAATATTCAAAAAGTTTTAAAACCAGTCAAAAATTCAAAAATTTGACTTTTTCAAGGCAAAAACTTTTTGTGTTAAAAACATTGTGTGGCCGCTAATGCAGGGGAGGTTCTCAGTACCCTTTTTTATCCATTGAACACACAATATCAGATTTGAGAGGCTAGCAAAACGGTTAAAAATCAAATGTGACTATTCCCAGGGCCTAATTTTGGTTTTAAAAGTTTGGGCTCAGCCGTTTATGCAGTAAGGTTTTCAAAATCGTTCTATTCATTGAAAGCAAAAACTCAAATTTGAGAAGGGTAACTTTCGAGAAAACGAAAAAACAAATCAAAAATATGGGTCAGATATTCCACCACAGACTTTTTCGAAAACTGTAGACAGAGGAGTCAAGTTAAAAGATACAAGGCGAGTATGCAGGCACACAGTGGAGTAGGCGGTCTTTCAATTTATACCCCTTTTTTTTCAAAATCAGCAGAATTTACTAAGAAACTATTTAAAATTTTCCAAAAATTTGGAAATAGTTTTCCATAACGACAAAAAAAACAAATTTCAATAAACCGATTGCTTAACATACCCAACTTGGAAAGTGCGGAGGGGTTTTGTTTTTTGTTTCTACTGAGCCGAGAAAAGATAAGCAGACAAATAATTGGCCGACAATTTCATGTGAAACAGAATATTTCTTGTTTGAAAAAAAAAACAGGTCCTGGTCAGATTCCAACCCCAGACCTTTGCCTTCCCTCCAAGATAAAGAGTCCGGGAACTCAAAAGTAAGTGTAAATAAATTATAAGTCGAACGGCAAAAAACCAAATTTGAGGGTGAAGAAAACAAATCACAACACTGCTTATATACTTGTCTTCATTTCGTTCATTGACACTTTAAAAACCATTGAAATGGTCATGCCTGCGTGCAACTAACGCATAAGTTCAATCTCTTACCTTAATGTCTAACTTCAGCGGCTAAAACAGATCATATACACTATTAAAAATTTATTAGGCATTAAAATGATTTACACTTTTGAATGTTGACTTACCATGCTTGCTCGTAAAAGAAAGTCAACCAAACTTCTGAAAACAGAATAACTGTTCATTACTTTTTATTCAAATCAAATATGAACCTCAGCTTATTAAAAAAAACGGATAAGTTTCAGAAATATTTTCAAAGTATCTAGAGGATTAGATTTGAACATTTAATGATGATTACAAATCAACGAGACAAGAAAAGTTTTGAAGAATAAAATTTAGAAAGCACATGAGCTAATTCGGCATTTTCCAAAGAAAAAAAAATCTTTACAATTTAGTAGTAAGTATTTGACCATTTAGATATTGTACCACAACATTAACAACATTTACTATATTCATAGATTCGTCTTATCTCATTTGATAGTCTGTTCTGTAATGCAACCCTTAAATTGGTTAAATTCATAAAACAGAGAGATACCGTCGTTTTTGTCACATTAACAGACATCAAAAACTGGTGGCTATTTTAAATTCGAGCTCCTGCTTTTCATCCTTTTGTTCAGAATCTGAGGATTTTGAAAATTAAGGAGAGAGAATTGAACTGCAGGAAAAACAGCAGTTAGAGGTGACAACTTGTCATGACTCCTCAATTTCAGGTACGAGTTTGGTAATCTATCTACAGCACAAATCGATAGAAAAAACTGATGACTTCATCGTCAAAACGCCTTTATTTCTTTTTTTCATTCTTTCCCATATCGCGCTTGTTTCAGAAAATCATCCATTAAGCCTCCCAACTCACTCGACTTGGTTTTTCCTTCTTCTTTGGTCCTGAGCGTCGCAATTCGGTCCCTCGAACGACTCCTACTCCCGCTGGTTTGCTCGGATTCAGAAATCGACCGGGAACGCGACCTCGATGTTTCTTTGTGACCCCGGGTTTTATCAGACTCCAAGGTATTTTTTCTAGCCCTCTCGCTGATCGAACTTTCGCGCCTCATTTTACTGAGAGCACCTTGCAGATCAAAATCATCAGGGGCAATAGAATTTACCAATCGATCCCTATTCTGTTCATTTGATCTCCGATTGTCCGATGAACGGACCGCTTCTGAAGCTCGTGATTCAGACGGACCTTGATAACCAACTTTGCCGCTTTGCTGATAGAAAGGCAAACTATTATTGCGGGCATACTCATGCAAGTTACCATTGACTCTGTAATTGAAACTGCTTCTACCACGCGGAGTGAAGTTCGGGTTGCGGTCATTCGGTCTAAAACCTCTGCCTCGATTTTCATGGAAATACGCATCTCTCCCTCTAGCATGGAAATCATCGCGCCTCTGATGCCCATATTGAGGTCTATCTCTAGGAGCAAATTCTTCGGGCCTTTCGCCGCGATCAGACATACGCTCGCAAGAAGTCAATGACTCTAGAGAAGGTTTCGGATTGTTTGCAGTTTTCGCCTTCATTTCCTGCCATTCAGTGCCTACCACGGTCGGCACAGGTGGAAGTCTTTCAATTCTTTCAAGAATTCCTTTTTGCTTGCCAGTGAAGAAAGTCATTATGCAGAACTTATGATGCAGTTGTACCAAATATGGACATGGAAAAACCAGCATACAAGAATCATTTGGACACGCATAGTGCTCTGAGCATACAACATGGTTGTAGACTTTGTGTAGCATCGATAGCAACACAGGGTACTTTGAGTTGCAATTAACGCACGAGTGCTTGATCTTTTTGAAAGACTGTGCACTATTTTTGAAATGAATCGAAGCTCCGTGACATTCTCTGTCTTCTCGTGTCGCAAAAGTGTTTTCAGAACAGCACTTCGGATATGTTATTGCCTTCATTTGGTTGAATTCTTTGTACTGAATGAACGTACATGCTACGCAGGTCTGTTGACAAAGAAAATTTTCTTGAGCATAAACTTTACCGTAGAAAGGAGCGTTCAATGCGTCAAACTTGTGGGTTCGTCCCCGTTTCAAACATCCCCCTTCACGAGTCAAATGAGCTTCTAGTTCTGATTTAGAGCGGAAAACATTCCTTGTAGTGCAGCTTGCATTAGGACACACGATATGCTCAGCGCACAAGCTATGTTCATCTTTTCTATGTAAGATCCAGGATTCCAGCGATCTGGTCGTAAATGCACATAGCTCACAATTAGTGTCTTCTTTCAATTCAGGTATAGGATGGTTATGAACAATACAGAAATGGTTCGCAGCTTCCAATTGACACATGAATGCCAAATCGCATTCAGAACACACATAATGATGGATGCACAAAAGTGGGTCCAACTTTTTCTTCAGTCCACATTGGTTGCAGATATAAAACTTAAACTTATTGGAAGTTTGTACCAGAGATTTAGATATTATACTGAGTAGAATGAAATGCCCATATACTACACCGTTGGCCTCATCTGAAACAAAAGGACCAATATCTATCGAAGCCTCACTTGTCAATGCAACTTCATTGCTAGGGTCCAGAGGATCCAGTTTTTCATTCTTGGACTCCTCACGAGTGACCATTTCATTTAAACCTCTATCGAGCGACCTCCTATTCGAACTATCGCCTAAACTCCTTGAAACTAGTCGACTTGACATCGCACTTTGATGAACTGCGCTTGTTTTCAGCGTCCGCATAGGTTCATTACTACTGCTCGGTTCGCTGTCTGTGGGACTCTCATTTACCGCTTTGCGGAAGGACGCAATCATAGCTCCAATTCCACTTTGAATCTCAAGTGCCACTTTACTCGGGGGTTCGTAATCAATGTCACCCTTGATCTGGCTTTTAATCACATCTCCCGTTTCTTTTTCTATACGAGCAGGAAACGGTGGTGGCCGTTTGGGTGAGTTTTCTGGTCTGACGGATCTTACAGGAATTTTAAATGGTGGTGGTTTCGAATTTTCTTCGATGAATTTCATAAATTCTGCGTCATCCTCTTCGTCGAAAAGTTCAACGACTGGTTTTAAAGGAAATTTATCAGAACTTGGGGGCATAAAAGGCTTCGGAACAACATGAGGATGCGCTAAATTTTCATTTAGCGTAAAAAGATCAGAAATTGGTTGTGGTTGTACTATGTTTTCCTGGGCAGCTCTTTTGTCAATGTCATTAGGATATGCCATTTGTATCACATCCTTTACGATTTCATCGTGTGGCATGTAGCTTGGCATTGGAGGCTTAAACCCAATCGGAGGCTTCAAACAATTTGGAGGTTCGAACTCAGTAGGAGGGAAAAACTCATTTGAAGGAATTCTCTCCATAACCATTCGCTTCACGGGCGCCACGAAAGGTGGACTGAGACATGTCGAAGTACTTGGAACCATTGCACTCACTGGACTAGTTAAGGATTTATCCCAAGGAATGAAATTTGTAGTTTTGTCTCCTGGGTTTCGAGGAATTGGCGCTTTATTCGATTGAAATACTCCCGGCGATGGTGAGCGAGATTTTATTTCAGGGCCCCAAGCAACAACCTGCAAGTCTTCGACTACTTTCTTCCCTGGACTTACAGGTGGGCTAACCTCTTTGATAGGGGAAGCCTCACTTAGGGACCACCTTTCAATACGGGGGTCTGAGGCGTGAATAATTGCAGCGGGTTTCTCGTTTTCGTTTTTGAGAGGTATGATTTCGTTAACGTCGTTTGGGGAGCTTTCAGCTTCGCGTGATGTGGTAGTCATCTGCTCCGGGACGATCGATTTTGCTATTTTTGGCAAAGTCGGTAGTGATTTAAACGGCAGCTCCAAAAAATAGTTGACCATATTTTGATTGACTGGAGCCTGCCATGACTCTGAAGACTCTTCTGACACGGTTTTGAAGTACTTTTCAATCGGCTTGACCTTAGTGATGTGATTAGCACTGCTTCTGTGCTTTATCATTTTCTCAATATCATCGAACAGGAAATTGCAGTCATTGAAAGGACATTTGACATGGAGCCCACATATACCATGTTTCAGAAGTTTGTGATTGTAAGCGTCAATGACTTTTCCTGTGAAGCTGCAGCTAACGTGATCTGTTTTCAGATAACAGTCAACTTTGGAAGAGCAATCCATTTTATGATTTAGCACTAAGTGGGATATGAACTCGGCGCTATCTATGAAAACTACCGGACTGATATCAAAAGAGCACAGTTTACATAGCACCAGCAAACTGCTTTCGAACAGTTCATTGCAACACGTGCAAGCATATTTCTCATATCGCATTGACACCAATGACTGACTATATGTACAAATGAGGTTCTGGATCTCTGAGTGCAAGTAATGCGTCAGCAACTCCTCGCCTCTGATTCCACTGTCTCGTTTGCTGCACATATCTTGGTGCAAGTTCAAACTATGCAGCGAAGACATCAACACTCGGCAACCTTTGTATCTACATACATAATGGATTCCGCACGACTGATGTGAATGATCTCTGTGGTTGAAATAGTCGCGCAATCTCAGCCATTTTGGAGGACAATTTTTATCCGCACATTGCAAATAGATCATATCTTCAGTGTCCTGTTGGAAACGCAAGTACTTGTGCACCGCAAAATCGACCTCATCTGTCAGAAATATTCGACCATGATCGTTACATCTATTACATTGCACGAAATTCCTGGCGTCCAGCGTCTGTGAATAGCTACAAGAAGTACATTTGTACAAATTGTCAGGAGAAGCGAGAGCAAGTAAACCTTCTTTTTCGGGCACATTGGTTGTCAAACATTCTTTGCTCATCACGTGTCGACCTAAATTTCGGGCAGTGCTGAAAAGTTTGCAGCACGATTTATGAGCAACGCACAGATAGTGCTCTTTGCAGAACTTGTGAGCTATTGCACGATGTCTGATCACTTTTTCGCACGAGTCCGAAGTAAACGCGCATTCTATGCATTTTGATTTGGTCTCTGACTCAGAGTATCGGTGATAGTGCGCAATGTGTGCTTTAGCCTCAAGAAGACTGAAGAAAACTAAATGACAAAACGGGCAGCTATGATGCGTGAGTTTCGAACTCTCCTCACTAAGTTGCACAACAAACGGACAAGATTCGCATTTGTATGCAAAAAACTTGGTGAAATAATCTATTTTTGCTATAGGTAATTTGAGCACAGGCGCGTAAAATAACTTTCCAACCTCTGCTCCATTTCTTTGAAAGAATAGAACCTTTTTCGATTTGCTTTCCCCGTCGCCCTCGCCTGCACTTTTGATCTGGCCACATCTAGTCGGTTTCAGGCTCTGAAAGTGAGTAATGAATGATTTGTATGCAATGGTGTTAGGCTCTATGAATTGGCATTGTTCAGGTCTGATATGCGCTCGCTTGTAGTTAGACGGGTCGATCAGAAACGAGCAGAGCGGGCTGCAGCAGACGTGTGAAGTACATGAGTTGTGTTCGCTTACAACGTGGCTTTTCAGTTCCTTCAGGGATCCGACGAACTTGCATCCGGTCTCCTTGAAAGTACACATCAATTTTCCAGAAAATGTCAGAGCATGGTCTGTTTCCAAATGAATTAGAAAGTCGTTAATTTTAGCAAAACCTGCATATTGTTGATCATGCGGTAAATTTGTGCACAAATTACACTCCACTAGTGATGAGCAAATGAACGTGTTGGCGCAGTCTTGACAAAGGAAACTATGGGCTGTGAATGAGCTATCAATATTTCCAAATAACGAGATCGTTTCCCCCATATTTGCAGAACAAAACTGCAGCTGCTCACGAGGTGGATGATTAGAATCTAAGTGAACACTATAGAAATCGAATGATATCACTTTGAGGCAACGATTTTCGTAGCACCGAAAATGAGCAGAACATCGGCCATGTTCGTGTCTCATATGCTGTCCAAAGATATTCGCATCGATGGTTCGAAACGGACAAAATTTGCATTCTAAAGATAGATTCGGTGCATATTTTCTATGTTGTATGGCCTTATGAAGGAGCAGTTCGTTCAAATCAAGGAATTCTACTTTCTTCAGTTCGGGCGGACACAACTCACAGGCACCCACATCTCGACTGGACGTTACAGTAAATGTACAGAACTGACAACGACTCTCCAGTGTGAGCACAGACATCAGTTCTTCGTGCTAAGCTTTTCTGTATCAAGCCACTTCTGAAAAACAAGAATTAATGGTTGCTACTTTTAAGAACAGATTGTTTGGAAATTGTATGGTAATCAGAAGGTCAAAAGTATCATAGTAACCGAGGTTACAGTCAGGAGTCCCTTCATCACGTATTCCAGTCAAAATCCTTGGAATTTTCTAGATATGGAAGTGATAATGATAAAAGAAGATGACAAGTGTTTAAGTCCTTTTCAATTAAAATCGATACGGGTTACGTTTCTTCAATAAGAACACGCAACTCGACACGAGAAAATATAATATACAAGTGTTACAAATAAAAAATTTCGTCGAAAATTGGAAATTGTTAATGGCTTTGCAAAAAATTGTCTTTAGAATTATTTTTCATGACGCAGAAGGTCTTCTCGTGTATTCAAAACTTAATTTACCACAATTCCAACTTAAGTTGTTGTTGTTGTTGGGGATTCACAGCACTGCTGTTGGGATTCTTGGTCCCGGCGTCTTCTCTAAAACAATGTCCACTTGTTTCTGCACGTGATACAATCACAGAATAATTGCCACGTGCACGTTGTCATTTCTGAAAATCTCTCGTTTACAAATTTCCACATCGTGTTTAAAATTCTCGCCTTGAGGCCGATTCGTTATCAAAATGAATATATGGTTCTAATCGATTTACAATCCTACTGGTTCTGAAAACAAATTCGTTTCTCGCTTTTTCCGTTCTCACTTTTCGCATCTCAAAAATTTTTGTATTTCTAGCCCGTGTGGTTCGCCTGTTTAACACTATTTCATTTCGTTCATTAGAATCAAGACTGGCAAGAAGTAAGATGTTATTTAGCTGGATGAACATGGGCAGGGGTAAAATGTTTAGCAAGCGTAGTTCGTTGATGTACACTCCCGTTTTATTTCCAGTGATCCAACGGATTACTTTCTTTTGAAATCGCTCCAACTGCAATTGATCCCCCCTCGATATATGTGTACATGAGAGTCCGTATAATAACACTGGGAGTATTAGTGACTTATACAGGCCTAACTTTACAAACGTATTTATCTTTGCTGATAGGTTTCTTCTCAGGAGGTACAGTACTTGGTTTGCCTTCTTTAATCTTGTTTCAATGTGTACCTTCCAACTTAAATCGCCCGACACAAAAATTCCCAGATCTTTCACAACCATCGATGTTCCAAGCACTACACCAAAAAGCATAGAGTTAGCGTCTCCGCCCCTAAAACTTACTTTTGCACATTTATCTAGTGCTAATTCCATTTTGTTTTCAGTTACCCACTGCTGAATTTTGTCCAGATCTTCTTGAATTTCAATTGATGTTTTTTTGATGGAAAGTAGTTTAAGTATTTTACAGTATAACAAATACCCTTTCGCTCTTCTCGTTGGCTCCATTTAAAAAGAGTTTTCTTCGACACTGGGTTCGAACGGACTTTTATACTCAGATACTTAGCGGAGCTTTGCATCAGATGCGATACAACACAAATATAAAACAAGAATGGCCGTTTGCTGTGCAAGTACAACAGAATGTTCCAACAACATTAGTACAAACTACAAAAATCTTTAAATTAGCGTCGTTTCTTCTCGCGTGATTAAAGAACTATACAAATGCGTAGAAAGTTATTGGATTAGGCATAAATTCTTCAACAAAAATGAACCATAAAAGATTCAGGAAAAAAAATTTTATGGCCAAGAAAGCTCTTAATGAAGCTTCGAAAACTAGTTTTCTTTCGAGTTAATTCAAATATTTGTTATAGCTTAAATGGCCAACTTTTAAATATAACGAAATGACTCGATTGGATTATTATTATAAGAGTTTTAAAATAATAATTCAAACGTTTACGAACATTCAGATTAAAAGTTTCTTTACAATATTTACAAAACGTGTAACAGTGGCCAACTTAAGTCACATATGAGGTTAAAGAAAAATAGGCCATATAACCCTAGGCTCAAGATTCAGGGTCACTATCTCTTGTTTTTCTACCTCAAACGGTCGGAGCCAACTCGGTTCACTTGCGACATGAGACTACAAACCACGTTACGGCTTAAAGGCTACTACCAAAATACCCCCCATCTAGAAATAAGAACGCCCCCATGCTTAGGTCTTAAAATACCCAAAACACACAAACGCCGTTAAAAACAGGGTCGGAACCTTACGTATATAGTTACTTTTTATTGGACACTGGATTTTTGATCCATTTCAGCCTAACTGTTGTGATAAACTTATTAAATAGTTTAAGAGATGGAGTGTATTCTGAGGTGACAAATCGAAGGTAGCGGTGTCCCCACTAGACGAACCATGGACAAAACTGGTGTGATCCGGCGACGAGTGATCCCAGTTTGGCGTACAGACCTCGGCTCTACAACTTGCGGAGGGCGTTGTTCCTGTACGGACACGCCCTTTTGCGTCTGGGGGGAAAGATGCCAGACACAGCACCTTGCGGCAACGTCAACTGTCCCCACAGCGGAATCGCAGCTTCCAGTGGAGTGCAGTGTGATGGGTGCAATAACTGGTTTCACATCAGCTGTGCTAAAACAACGAAAAGGGAACTCGCAAACCTCCCTCAATTTTTCTGTACTAGTTGTCATCAACAGCCTTCAAACGTACTTTCAGGCTAATCACAGATGATGACAAACATGACGGTTAAAGAGAAAGGCATTGACGACCAGAAAAAGGCTACCGAGCTGAAGGAACTAGTGGACCTGCCTAAGATTGATGTCTCGGCAAACCGTTTCCCTCCTGCCGATAAATTTGGAGAAACAAACTTGGAGAAACCAGTTTGCCGCGGAGTTGACATTTTTTATGAAAAAGTTGTTTTCATGAAAAGAAATCTATTTAACCTCCCTTCAGGAAATGCTGGAAAGCTGATTATCAGGGAACTCAGGTTCTGACTGAAACAGTTTAATTCTTCAAACTCAAAAAACAATTCCATGGCCTTGAAAGTTTTCATGGTGCTACCCGGATTACTGCTACAGAAACCCTTCCAGACCTCCAAATGCAAAGATCACACTGAAGCACTTTCTCGGCGCTTAGAAATGTGGAAACGCGGAGATATAAAAGGTCTAGCGGATGAAGTTTATTATATTCAAAAACGATTAAAGACCACGCAACGCAACAACTCATCTGAAGACCAAGCTCGTGTCTTTGCCAAACTACTTCTTCAAGGGAAAGTCAAAAACGCATTGAAGCTATTAGAAGAAGATCCGAGCGTTGGTTGCCTTCCCTTCACAGAAACGGTTGAGAAGGAACTGAAGCAGTTGCATCCAACCATGGCAGTTCCCGACAGAACAGCACTTCTTTTCGGGCCAGAGGAAACCATTCCTGAAGTAGCATATAAGTCCATCACAGAAGATGTAGTAGCGAAAACTGCAGGAAGACTGAATGGATCCGCTGGTCCATCGGGATTAGATGCTGAAGTATTCAAGGGAATGCTTTGTTCAAAAAATTATGTCCAAGACGGAAAAAAGCTGAGAGAAGAATTCTCTTTAATGTGCTTCAGATTGTGCACCATGCACCACTGCCCCGGGTTACTCGCGCCTTTGACGTCTTGTCGTCTTTTAGCCCTTGATAAGAACCCTGGAGTGCGACCAATCGGGGTTGGGGAAATTCTACGTAGACTTCTAGGCAAATATATTGTCCACGCATTCAAAGACCCGATCAAGGAAACCGCAGGAAACAGCAAACATGTGCCGGATTCGAAGATGGTGCAGAAGCTACTATTCATGCTATGAAAGAACTCTACGAGGAAGAGAGCTCGGAAGCTGTGATAATGATCGACGCCTCAAATGCCTTCAACTCCATGAACAGAGCAGTGGCTCTAAACAACATACAAGTACTGTGCCCAACGATTGCCAGATATTTAATAAACACATACAGGCAGCCATCGCGCTCATTTGTGATAGGAGGTGGGGAATTAAAATCAAGTGAAGGAACCACGCAAGGAGATCCACTCGCGATGCCCTGGTTCTCTATCAACACCAGACGACTAATCAATGTACTTGCCGAACAAACTGAGGTGAAGCAAGCATGGCTGGCAGATGACGCCACTGGATGCGGAAGCATTGCGAACTTATGGAAGTGGTACGGGAAAATAATTGAAGAAGGAAAGAAAGACGGTTTTTTGTTAACAAACTGAAATGCTGGCTGGTAGTGAAATCGGAGAGTCTGAGTGCAAAGGCAAAAGTGATGTTTAATGGAACAATAAATGTCACTACGGCCGGCAAAAGGCACTTTGGAGCAGTACTTGGGTCTCAAGATTTCAAGACTGCCTACTGCAAAGATAAAGTTGAAATATGGGCTAAGGAATTGAACGTGTTGAGTATGTTCATCGTTTTACAACCACATGCAGCATTCTCCGCGTTTAGCAAAGGATTTAAATCAAAGTTTACATACTTCTTTCGGACTATACCTGAAATAGGTGATATGCTCGCACCAATAGAATGTGTTCTGCATAACAAACTTATTCCAGCGTTCTTCGGGTCTGAGTCCCCACTGGAGATCAAGAAAAGACAAACTATTGGGTTACCAATAAGCAAAGGCGATCTTGGCTTCGGAGCGCTAAAAGAAGAAGCAAGGTTTCAAAATGAAAACTCAAAAATCTTCTCAAAGACCCATAAGCAAGCCATCCTTGACCAGCTTCCGGATACCACTCTTGAGTATAGCGACGGAAGAAAACAAATAGCAACTCGGAAACGCGAAAGAGAGAAAGAATTAGAAGAAGCAGTCTCACAATCACTTACCACCGAAGAAAAAAGGAAGTGGAAACAAAACACAGACAAGGGAGCTAGTACCTGGCTAACCGCCCTACCTCTAAAAAGCCAAGGATAGAACCTCACAAAAACAGAATTTCGGGACTCGCTGAGATTACGATACAAAATTCCCCTGCAAAATATCCCCCGCAATTGCCCATGCGGAAAAGCTTTTTCCGTTGATCATGCCCTGGGGTGTAAAAAAGGTGGTTTCATATCTGCGAGGCATGACAAACTTCGGAACCTTCTTGCAGGGTCGCTAACAAGGATATGCAACAATGTGGAAGTCGAACCACAACTGACAAAAATTGATAACGAAGTATTCAGATTACAAACCACATCAACTGAAGATGACGCGAGGCTAGACATCAAAGCTAGCGACTTTTGGGAGACTGGACAGACTACGTTTTTTGACGTTCGGGTCACACATGTTAACGCTTCCTCACATGGCACCAAGGCTACAACTGAAATCTTCAAATCACAAGAAAACGAGAAAAAAGAAAGTACCTGGAAAGAATTGTCGAGTTGGAGAACAGTTCTTCCACGCCGCTGGTCTTCGGCACTAACGGGGGCATGGGAAAAAAAAAGCAGCATTTTTCTCAAACAATTAGCTGTTAAACTTTCCCGGAGCGAAGATGACAATTTTTATTCATCTTGTATCAACTATCTGAGAACTCGTCTATCATTCTGTATATTAATATCTGTTATAATGTGTATTCGAGGTACCCGTACACTATTCAACAGTAGTTCAGTTTAACAATCATAATAATAATAAAAACAAAGGATTTAGGAATAGAATCCAAGGGTTCGCATAAAATCCAGTCATTGCATTGTTCAAAGTTTAGTTTTCATTTATAAGTGTAAGTTTCTTCAGGTCTCTACAATTGTTGCATTCGCATAAAGTGCGCCAAGTGCATGTGTCTGATTCGTTGTAGCGAGTTTTGAAAAACTTTGTGTACATTCCTAGAAGTCTGTTTTTGCATTCTGGGCCAAACAATATGTTACATTTGAAGTATTTGTTGTACAGATTAGCAGGACGACATGCCCGAAACCAGAAATCCGACTAGCACTTCTTCAGACGCATTTGTTTGCAGACGAAATTTCGTGTCATTTGAGCTCTTCGGTTTCCAACGTCAGTGATGCTTACATGGCTCCTCCAGTCGATGTCAATTTTTCCAGCTAGTATTTTTGCAAACAGCAGTCCAACATGAAGCTCTTGGTATAGAGACAAAGGAAGGATGTTAAAATTCACGAGTTTGTCTTTATAGGAGATATGGCTATTGCTTGTCATGAAAATCCACGAAATCGCTTTCCGTTGCACTCTTTCTATGATTCCTAAGTCACCTTTTGATGGTTTGCAGATAACTGAACCGTAGCACAGAATTGGCACAACGTAACAGATATGTGCGTTTTTTCTGGTCGCGAAATTCGCTTTTGAGAGATTCCTTTTGAGTACTAAGAGAGCGTTTAAGGCTTTTTCAGCCCTCTTTTTTGCGTGTTGCGTCCAAGAGAGCGTGTCGGTTATCAGGATGCCCAGATCTTTCATTACTTCAGTGGTTTCGAAGCTGTAACTGAGGAGTGCAATCGTAGCTGCTCCTTTGATACAGAGGACTTTACTTTTCGTCGGGTTCATTGACATGTAGTTGTCCTCGCACCACCTCCAAAGTCTCCTAACATCTATGTTGAGAGTTAAAGGGTTGTCTCCAACAATTTTGTAGTCGTCTGCATAACCAAATGTTGCGGACATGACACAGGACGGTAGATCATTTATGAAGACTAGGAAGAGAAGCGGCCCGAGTATAGAGCCCTGGGGAACGCCGCTGAAGACTTCCAGATCTCCGGAAATTGTGTCATTCAGCCTCACTGTTTGCTTCCGGTTCGAGAGGTAGCTGTGTATTGGAGATAAACAATTCCAGAAGTCGATAATTTCTCCATGAGGATTCCGTGCGAGACTTTGTCAAAAGCCTTTTGAAAGTCCAAGTAGAAGGTGTTCATGTAGTTACAGTTTGGCGAATCTAGGCAGCTAAAAATCTCGTGTAGATACTCTATTAAGTTTGTTATCGTCGATCGTTTAGGTCTAAAACCGTGTTGGTCTGGTGTTAGGGTTGGGTAGACAATTGGGGCCAGTTTATAAAATATTAGTTTCTCAAGCAGTTTTGACACTGCTGAGAGCAGGCTGATCGGCCTGTAATTTGATACGACTTGTTTATCCCCGTCTTTGAAAATTGGTGCGATTTCGCTGATCTTCCATTTTGTTGGAAATATCGCTTTATTTGCAATCAAGTTGAACAGTAAGTGAAGTGATTTTAGTAGTGACTTTGAGAGGTTTTTCAGAAGAGTATTACCAATCATGTCTGATCCATTTGCTTTATTTACGTGCAGCTCGTTCAGGGCATCTTCTATTTCATTGATAGTGAAATTGATACTGTTCAGAAGAACGTTATCTTGTCGTTCTGCTTTCCCAACGTTGGCGTTTCGTGTGAAAACTGATTGAAAATATTTGTTAAACAATTCAGCTTTTTGAGCGTCTGTATTGGCTATTTTTTGATCTAGGAAGATCTGTGAAGGGATCATGCGAGACTTGGTGATCAATTTCAGATATCGTTGTAATTCGCTAAATTTCCCATTCTCAAAAAGCATTTTTTCGTGGAGATGCTGGTCGTTTTGAAGGGACAGTGTTATCTCAGTTTGCAGATTTTCAATTTTGCCTTCGTTCGATGGGGTAGGTTTTTGCTGATTTTTAAGTTGGATTGTATTTAATTTCTTGATAAGGTTGGAAGAATCGCTTCCCACCCAAGGAGCTAGTTCAAACCTGTGTTTTGTAGTGATAGGTAGCAGGTCCTGTAGTATTTCGTATAACCACTCGTACCAATGATCGAGCATCAGTTCAACGTTGCTCAAGCAAATGGTTGGAAGGGGTGTTGACGAATGAATTCATTCACTTCTTCCCAGTTTGCTTTCTTGTACGCGAAATTGCCAAAATCTAGTTTTGTTTGATGGCTGGTGTCTTTTTATGAACAGGTCGGTAGTCAGATGAGACTTTGGCATGGAGTGGCAAATGGTCGGAACTGAATAGACTACTCAGACAGTTGTCGAGTTTTACGCTGGTGACAAATTGCGGTTTGTTACTAAGGAGAATGTCTAGTGATTTTCCATCAGGGGTTTTTATTAGTTGTTGGAAGTTTGACTCACAGAGTTCGTCAAGGGTTGACTGCTCATCTAGAGAAGTTGAAGTCATTGACGGCCAGTGTGTACAGTTAAAATTTATGTCTCCAACTATGTACGAACAAAATGCACTTTGTTCAAATTGCTTACGCCTCAGGAACTTTAGGAGTTCGATTAGATCTGAGATTCCCCATGTGTAGGTACTGTTTGCAGGAGCGCTGTAGATGCAGCATATTAAAATCGGCTTGTTCAGTGATATGTGGATGATAACACAATCTTGAAACGCGGAATTGCTTTGGCTACTTGGAATGTTACGGTTTACTGCTATGAGTACGCCACCATGTTTTGTCAAGCCTTTGTCACTCGGTCTTTCATTTCGGTGGATAACGTAGTTTGTCAGAAAAAGTGCAGCGTCGCCGATGCGTTCTGTCAACCAGGTTTCAGTTAGGCAAATGACTTGATAAGCGTTTTTTACTTGGACAGCATTAGAGAAGGTTGTCCGCCGTTGGTACTCAAGAATACTTCTGACATTTTAAACAAGGATATTCATCGTCGCTGCTAATCAATTGGGTGCTTCGGGATCTGGAAGTTTCTCTTTCATCCACTTTCCAAGTTTTCGAATGTACAGAGTTGCATCGTGGACTCTTATGTCCTTTCTGTCTACAGATTTGTCGCTGATAAGTTGCCTTCTTCTGACGAGGGCAAGGTTTTCTTGATCAGCTTCTTCCTTCGTCAGTTGTCGGCTGAGGAAAATTGGTTGAGGGGAGTTTTTCAGTTTCCTCGCAGATAGCAATATCATTCGGCGTTGGTATGCATTGGGCACTTTTAATAGGATTGTTCTTATCTTGTTCTCGTCATATCGACCCAGGCATATGACATCGCCAATTGAGGCATTGACATCCATATGGTTCAATAATTTTTGAACTTCGGCGAGATCGTGTTCTTGCCGCAATCTTGCTTCCTTCTCAGTTGATTCAGGGATTCCTCGTATGCGAATGATATCGAGTTCCTCGGCGGGTTTCGGTGGCGGTTTTTGGCGACTGGCAGTTGAGCTAGGTTGGGTTGGATAATCTGAATCAGGTTGTTTTGTGCTTAGCAGCGTTTTGATTTCGGTCACTGTTTTTTTGAGGTCAGTCATTTCGTTTTCCAGGGTTTTCATTTGAGTATCTCAAAGTTCTTTTGAGGTTGTAGTTTCATGGGCAGCTTGGGTCAAATTATCTTGACGTTTTTCTTCAACGCATTTGTTGCATATCAATAGAGCATTTTTTTCTTAAGGCTGTTACTCCATTGACAGCGGCTTCACTTCGACCAGTGCAGTCTTCATTCAGGTGCATTCGACAGCCACAGCAAAAGCAGTCGAAAGAGCTTTCATTTTTAAGGATTTTCTCGCAGCACGTACTACAAGAATCAAAGACTGACAGGACCCGATTTCGGGTGTTATGTTTAGATATCTTAAAATCTTAAAAGGGGCTCAGCGCCAGAGACTCGATGAGCACGCCTGTTGAGATTTTAAGGTTTAGGACTCAGATTTGCGTACCTGTTTAGAATTTTCGCCGTTTAGCTTCGCGCTTCTCGGCAGCCGTTCGACGCTTCGTGCCACGTGTTTTGAAGATTCTATTGAAGTCGGGAAAATAGTGCAGCACAGTAGCTATAGTCCTCGACTCTATGTCAGTAGCCTGGTGCAGTTTTCGATATTCGGCAATTAACGATTCGTCAATTCTTTCGGAAGCACTGATAATATGCTTGTTCACGTCGATGACGTAACAGTCTAATGAATTTATTTAGAAGATCGTCGAATATGTAGGGAGCACTTTCGCGTTGACAGGTAACGACGCAAAAGAGGTTTGGAATAGTCTTAAAGGTCGCAATCAGTTCTTCGATTGTTTGGGGTATGTTGCCTTTTTTCGGGTGCGATGTTATTGTGTTATTTAATAAATCGTGCCAGAGAACAATTTTGCAGTTCCTGAGAGGGGTTGATGTAATATAATCGAGGCAGTAATTTGACGTGCTAGGGTCAAGATTCAGTCTAGGGAATGAGTGAACAGGATCAGCAAGCTTATCTTGTTCCGATTGTTCAAGTTTATTGATGGAATGGTAAAGAGTCTTGCACCTACTATTTTGATCATAAGGTATAGAGACTAAGAAAAATGAATAAATAAAATTGGAATGAACTCAGCTGATTGGGAATTGGGATAGTGAACACAGCAAGTCGGGAGCCGTCCAGAGTGTAGTTCCACCCAGTGTCCAGTGAAAAGTAATCCAGAAAATATCGTCGTGATCAAACTTTTCAACAATTTAACATTGACTATTGGGGCCATCACGGCTGTCCCTTGTATTCATATTTTAACTGAAACTATTTAATAAGTTTTAGCGGAAGATTTTCTGTTGAACTCAGCAACTGCCGATATCGCCTCATAATTCTTATTAGTTTTATATACCCGTTTGTTTCATTGTATATCTGTAAATACGTTTTGTTGTCGATCTTGTACAGTTTCTTCTATAAATATGTGATTTGTTTTTTACGACGAGGCATTTAATGCTGATTTATGATAAGGTTTCGTATTTGACATTATTTCAGATGGATCAACCTAAAACTCTCCCTGACTCAACATAATAATGTAAAGCACTCAAGAAATTTAAATTGGGTACTTACATACCGACTCGACTTCTATAATCGAGTAACTAAATTAATCAGCGACTCTAGAATCAATCCAGTAGTCAATTTTAACTCAAGAAGTTTGGAATGAATAAGTTTAAACTCAAGACACAAGTTTTATGTTTTGACCACTGAGCAGATTCAGCTGTCCACCTTTCAACCGAAGGTTTACTCTGGTCTACTCAATTCTTCTTTGTTTCTTCTTGTCACGACTTGTTTCTTCTCTAGGAATGAGACAGTTCTACTCTCGTTCGATTTATACGGCGAAATTGTGAATAGCACTTGCACGCTCCTATTTTTTTGCACTACTTTCCCGCGATTGTAGTTCGACTCTTCTGATCTGTTTTTTGGGTACTTACATAAAATTTAAATCACCCCAAAATCAAGACTAAACGTTGCTCAAGGTCAAACTTCCAAATATGACCGACTAGCACATACTTCCCGGACTCAAGATCGATGTCCTCATTGCGTGTCGTCTTCTGGCAGTGAGCCCCCAGAAAGTTGAGTGCGTCTCAAGATACCTTACCAGTGGTCATTTACAGAAGTTTGCAGCAGATTTAACTTTATCTACACCCCAAAATTCACAGCCATGCAAAATTGTCACATTATCGCTAGACAGCAATCAAAATCTGCATACACCTGCACCCTGAATTTCCGCTTTGTAAGCTATCATAAAAATTAATTTTGTTTTGCCCATTCAGAAAATTGTCTTGCTGCATTTTGATTTATATAGTAGATATAGTTTACTAATGACAAAAATTTCTTATTAAAATTTCTTTTCCGTGCCCTCAGATTTTACCTGAGTTCACACTCAAGCCCTTTTATCTTTCCCCCGCTCACGACTCAAGAACCAATCCCAGAACACCCTCTTCAGTTCGTGCCCCTTGTCTTCGAGGTACTGAGTCCTGACACACTCGACATCGTAACTTGCCTTGTCAGTTCTTCTTCGTCATCTGAACTGATGACGATCTCTTCCCATGCCTTCAGCTGTTTGTAGGCTCGCATCCATTCCTTTTGCTCTTGTAACTTTTTCGCCTGATTTGGCAGACCTTTCACTTTAGATTCCCAAGCAAAAGGAAATGTGCAAGCTCAGGCTCACATTCTTCGCCAAGTCCTCCTCCAATATCAATTCCATCGCTTTGATGTTATCTGGAGACACTCTACCAACCCTTTTCCAACCCGTGATTATTGCATTACGATGAGTTAGCAAGGATCTCTCGAAGGCCTCGGGCCCGATCTCGGCCAGGATCTGTCGATATTCTTTCTGATGCTTCTTCATGTCAGCCAAGCTCGAAACCATGACAAGAATCTCATGCGACTCCCCACATGCGACTTACTTCCTTGGGCACAGCGAATACTTTACATGCAGTCTCGAACAAATCAAGCCTCCGGCTGTAGTCAATGGCATGTATTGACTCCACTTTTGGTGCTCTTGACTCTCGATCTTTCGTCACGTTCTCCTCGATCCATCGCAACGCCAGCATCGTGCTCACCACAAAAAGAGCGGCATCTGCTGGTGACTGGGTAGCTTTATTGACCGAATTTCTTCCACTTCCCATATCAAGCAGAGGTTCGATTTCTCTGGATACCAAACCGTCTGCGCCAGATAATGGCATGGGCAATCCCCGTGTGTCAGGTTGATGCTCCGGAGGTGGCGTTCTCCCGAAGCTTCTAACAGAGGTTCAAACTCCATCATATTATATTGCGACATGTCGTTTTCTTCCATGGCTGAGGCACTATTAATCGCTTTTCCAATCGTATTCTGTCTTTCAAAGTCATTTGTGTTTTGTTTTCCAGACTCCAGAGCTCTTCCTCCCAGATCTCACTCAAGTCCTCTCTTCGATCTCCAGTCACTGCTCCTAGTATCTTCCGCAACAACTTGTGAGAGTGGTGCGACATTCGTGCCAATCGTACACACTTGGGCACCGAGAAAGCCTTGTCAATTAACATCCTCTGACTAGATGCTTCCACCATCGCCATGTGTAGTGGATAATGGCTTCCGCACAGGTTGGCCATGACTGACCTTACCAGAGACTTCGCACTCGTGGGTAGATTGTAGGCCTCGCTCACAGGAAATCCCATCTGCGCCTGAAGACCAATCTTCCATCCTCTGATGTGCTTCTGGATCATTTGCAACATTCCTGGCCAAGACTCCACATTTAACGCTGTCACCAAATGGTGCTCGAACTCTAGCATCTCTAGAGATTGTAAACTGCACATCCTCGATAAAAATCCCAATGCCGACGCTACATTTACAGTGGTGCTCGCGTAACACTCAGCCATTATCTGAACCTCGCTCTTCTCCTTCTCCGTTATGTCACCGAACCAAGTGGCTAAATACCCATCTGGAAGGATTGTATTCTGACACAGGACCGCCCATTACAAGAATTATTTCCACCTCCACATGCCAGGTCCAGACAACTACCCGGCTCCATCTTCTTCACCAATTTCTTCAGCTTGTTCGTTGCTCCGAGATGGTCTCAGTAATTTCCAAATGGTCCCCAAATTCGTAGACAACATGTCGTTTCCGCTTCCCAGTCTTAGTTCGACCTTTTTGTCCGAACGCGGCACACTGATAATTTCCGGCATCTTCTCAAGTAGCAGACCTGGCTCTTTCTTTCTCTTTCCGTCGGGTCAATCTCAGTTTCTCCGTCCAGAACTTCAACAACTCCGCCACTTCAAAATTCATGCAAGCGTTTCCAGCTTCTGAGTCCAAGAAAGGGTTGTATGCCATCCCCATCACTCCAGACACATATTGACTTTCTCCCCGTTTCGTGGGCCTTGAGTAATCTTCTGCCGGAGTCAGGTTGCGATGTACATCCTGATCCTCGCCGAGTACTTTTTTGGAGAACTTTCTTATTTCATCAAGCTTTCCGTGGCTCTCTGGAGACTGCCTTGAGCCATCCCCCTTGGCGATCCCAGTACTCTGGTACACATTCAGGATGACGGTGGCGACTCTCCTTTCCATCGTCTTACTTCCTATCGCTCTTTAGTGGCATGTCTGGACGGTGGTGTCAGACATCACTGACTTTATCCATCTCAAGAAGCAGGTGGCATTTTTACTCCTCGCTAGACTCAATCCCGAGTTTTCTCGAGCAATGTGTTGCACCAATATTTGGTACACACGCATACCCGCATCACCCAGTCTGAGTTTGTCATATGAAATCAACGTCTCTAATGCCAATCTCGCCAGGCTCCTTGAAAACAGCAACTGTCCCGCTGTCCTGACAAAAGGATTTGCCTTTAATGATGAAGCCGACGAGAGTGCTCTCATCGCATCTTCAAATTACTCCAGCAGCAAGTTTTCCCAAGATAGCCCCAGCTGGCTCTGCAACTCTAGCTTATTAACTTCAGCCCTTTGTTGGGTAGCCCAATTCCGACTCTTACGGGATACTCCGCAATCAAGTCCTTTCAGGCTATTCCCCAGCTCATTTGTGGTCTCCAGGGCTATCCACCAAGGACGAGCGATGTTCCTCGTCGCACCTCACTTAAGAGGGTTACTGGTCACTTGCTTACCAGTGTCCTGGTGTTGAGTCGAGATCCATTCTTCCCGGACATCCCTTTCCCACATTTGTCCACTGGTGGAGCCCCTCTTCGCATTCGCCTTCTGAGGTTTGAAGTCTTCTTCTTTCCCTGGAGTCGTTGAGGCCTCCACTTCGACCATCACCTCTGTCAACTTCCTGGCTGCCGAGCCGCCCTTGTAGGCCGCCGTCTTCCATCGCACCAGAAACATGGGAGCTATCTCCTTCAAGTTCTTCTCTGAAACCGCATCCGCTGAAGGACTTGCCTCTTCTGCTTCCCGTTTCCTCTTCCTTGACCTTACTCCTCTACTCGGGGGCGTCGTCACCACCATAACTGACTCGACTTCTTTAAACTGATCCCTTTTCTCCGACCTAAGAAAAGGGCCCTCTTCTCTAGGCTTAAGAACATTAGTATCTTCAATAATATTACTAGTTTTGTTTTTATCGTCCACTTCGACACTAATTTTTTTATCATCAGTTTTTTTGTTTAGAGTAGAGCTATCCTTAAATGGGTTGGCCCCGGTATCCTGCTTCTGCTTCCTTAGGCCAATCATCTTCTCGAGCAGCTCTTTCTTCACCTTCTCGTCCAGTCCAGTGCCTATCAGGACTGAATCTCCAAACTTTACCACCGTGTCCCAAAGTTCTTCCTTGAAGTCGTCTACTTTAGCATTGTTTTTCACGCTCTAGTTGAATTCGCTCAAGAAAATTTGCCACGCCTCCTCGTCCAGCGTGCTGAGGAACATTCCTTAGTTGCCTTCAAATGTATTCCACTCCCTTACTTCACCCTCTGACTACATGCTTCCACCATCGCCATGTGTAGTGGATAATGGCTTCCGCACAGGTTGGCCATGACTCATCCTACCAGAGACTTCGCACTCGTGGGTAGATTGTAGGCCTCGCTCACAGGAAATCCCATCTGCGCCTGACGACCAATATTCCATCCTCTGATGTGCTTCTGGATCATTTGCAACATTCCTGGCCAAGACTCCACATTTAACGCTGTCAGCAAATGGTGCTCAAACTCTAGCATCTCTAAAGATTTTAAACTGCACATCCTCGATAAAAATCCCAATGCCGTCGCTACATTTACAGTGGTGCTCGCGTAACACTCAGCCATTATCTGCACCTCGCTCTTCTCCTTCTCCGTTATGTCACCGAACCAAGTGGCTAAATACCATTCTGGAA